CATGTTTCTGGATTTATAACCGTAACTATAGTCGTGATTTGTGGAAAATTACGCTTTCTTCGCAGTTGTTTCATCCGCGTGACCGAGAAAAAATGCATTGAAATTCTTACATCAGGTTGAATCTCGAATATATCAAGTTGCACAATAGTGTTCTCAACGAATGCCTTTTTAGGTCTCATTTAACATTTAAGAATTGTAATAATGTAGAGCAATGATGATATAGCATTAACAAATGGAATGAAATAAATAGTTTGATACATATATTAACGATAGTTATAAAGTTATGCAATATTTACGAAAAATGTGCAAGGGAAAAAATATAAAATTAGAGTAGAAGTCAAAAGTAAATTAAAATAATACTATTTTTCAGAAATAAAAACAATTCATAATATTATATATTATATATATATATATATATATATATATATATATATATATATATAATAATAATAAAAAGCGACTGTGACGAATACAAGAAATGATGGCACAACTATTTTTTCATATACTTTATACATATTGGCTATCACTTATTTTCGTACAAGGTACCTTTAGGGGTAAAAAAGAACTGCAATTTTTAACTGAAAAATGTTTGAATAATAAAATTATACATTTTTCTTATTACCAAAAGAATTATAATAATTGAATTTTAGTAATAGATGTCTTGTTTAATTTTAGATATGAATTAATTTTGTTCGTTTTAGAAAATATTAAAATAATATGACATTTGTAAAGATCTCTCAAAATGTGATTTAAATGTTATTATTACGTTGATTTAACCAATGAAAATATTCTAACAGTGAAGCATGTAGTTCGACCTTATTTTGGTCAAATGATTCATGGGAAACGACGCGAACCTCCTCACTTTTTGTTTCTTTCCCCTGTCACGCGACGAAAACAGAACTATTGCTCCTTTTTTTTTTTTATCTCTGTCCCACTACGCATCATTCTCTGGCAAGATTCCGATTTTTGCATGGAATCGCGCAACAAGTTTGACAAATATAAACAGGGGTGCACCAAAACGGCATTTTCATCCCCGTTTCCTTCCTTCAACCTCATATTCGCTGGAATTCACGTAAACAGTCATTTCACTGCGAATCGCAATCATCAATTCCGCGGTGTGTTGTTTTAGCAATCTTCGGTATAGTACCATAATTTTCAAACGAATTAAATTTGTTGTAAAACTTTAGTGAATTAATAAGATAATTAGTAACTATGATTGTATAGGTATTTTAGACTTATTATTAAGTCACACACAACAAAAACTTTAAAAAGGTTCCATTTTTCTCTTAGAAGCCTATTAATTTTGTAATATACGTATTTGTAAATTTATTTTTCTGTTAATTAAATAAATTTCTTTGTATATATATTTTTGTATGATATATGAATGTAATGAATTGTTGTTTGTATATTACAAAATTGTTGTAATTTTTAGTGTTTCTCATAAAGAGATTCAGTAGTTCACCGAACATTAGATCTTAATATAACTTGTATGCTGCTTTAAGAATTGCGTTGTTTATTGTACCAAGAATTCCTTTAAGTACATTCACAAGCATCAAAAGCAAAATATACTTGAGCCTCTACCATGTGTTCTTGCTGAGTACGTCATCCAAACATTGTACAGGACCTTTTAGGCTGACCTTGTTGGAAATAAACCTTTTACTAATGTATGTAGCAGTATAATGCAATTAAAATTTTGTATGACCCTTCAAAATTCGATTATGGAAATATTTTAATCGAGCTGATTCTTTTGCATACACTTTTATCAAGTTCTCACAAATAATAGGTGAAGTTTTCACGTCACGTCACGTCTCGTGTACATACATATTGTACATATAACACATCTGTCTTGTAGAAAATTTCCTTATCTTTCTTTCTAGGAATAACTTGTAGTAAACCTTATAGTTTTTGAGATAGCATATGGAAAATTAATTTTTCTATTAAAAGTGATCAATTTTGAATTTTAATTTCACGTTAAACTTATTCATACAACGATAGCTGTGAGACATTTTAACGACTCAGGAAAGATATATGCGAAAGATCAGCCGAAGAAAAATATTTTGATAACCTCCTGTGTATTTTAGTCTAGACACTAAAGTGACTGAAGTATAAACCGCGCAGCGTGCTTCATTACGAATATTTTAAGAAGGGACCAACTCTGCTCGTTTCTCCCAACTGTTTCGTTCCCTTTGAACGATTCCTTCGCGTTGTCCTTTTGGAAGCACTTACGAGCTGTCAGGTTGGAAAGTGTTTCGTTTTCAGTAACGTACCTACATTAATACTCGCGAGCTCAAAGCAAACCGATTACGCTTTAGGAGGACTGTACTTCTCGTTAAATATTAGCAAACAATTAGTTTAAAACGAAAGCTGGGTGGTTTGGTGAACTCGTAGTGAATTTTCGTAATATCTTAATGAGACACATTTGCATCGATGAAATTCTGACAGAGAATGACAGGTAACTTTTAAACCGGAAGTAGGCGGAGTGGTGCTAGAACCCCTAAAAGGTGCAACTTGATGCCTAGACCTTGCGAATGATACCTAACTTGTCTACCTTATGACACCTGTTCAGGGCAACATAGATGTTAAATGTTCCTTATTCTTTAACATACTATTAATTATTTCTGATAATTAAAAATTAGAATATGGTATAGTTAACAATTTTTAAAATAAGATCGAAATGAGTGGATCAAATTAATTGCCTAAAATAGTTCTAGTGGTATAGTTTGTTCGTGTAGGTATGATATGTGTGAAACTTTGTTTTGATTTTCATGTCAGAATTGATTCCTCACAAAAATCAAGAAATACGTTTGTTTACATGTGTGTTCGCTCCGTTTTGATTTTTGCCTGAGGAAACGTTTTCCAGAAAATCATAAAGTTCGATATAATAAATTCTATTTATGAAGCAATAACGCCATTTGGTTCTTCAAAAAATTATACGTGTATAGATGTACGTATGGGTACATGTTTGTGGTCCGTGTTTACTTATTATAGGAGCAATTTATCAGAAAATCATTAGCTTTGATACATAGTAACTTCTATAAACATATGGGATGACAGAATTCTATATATGTACATGTGTATGTACATATGTATGACTCATGTATGTGTTTGTATACATGTTGGGCTCTGTACCTAAGGAGTGATTTACCACGAAATCGTAGCAATTTGATATCGTTCTTCATATGAATCATTGATTCAATTGTTACAAATTTATCGAGGGTGGCGGAACAATACAACTATATAAATACTATACTTTAACGTTACGTTGCAAGACAGAATTTCATCGTAATTCTCGTCCGTTAAGATCACGAAAAATACATTTGTGATGGAATTTGTTTAGGAGGTTGTATACCGACATATTTGATTTTCGAACATGGTTACATATTAAGGCAGAGTTACGTCTAATCTCTTCACCGTCGAAACGAAGACATATGTACAAATATTCGAAGAGTTCTACAACAACGTTCAGAGCTTTTCACTAATCAGCCAGCGATCTTCGCCGATGGTTACTTCCGAGACGACGCCGAAGAGTGGGGCCTTCGTGGAAAGTGTGTCTGGCCGGATTTAGAAGCCGCATTTTTTCCCCCCTGAACGAGCGCAGCAATCCACGGGCCAATGACAGATATCCCGTGACCAGCGATGAACGGAGGAGAGTGCGAGATGCACTGGGAAGACGAGGCGCTGGTCCACGATTTTGACAGCTGCGTGTCGCTGCGTCTTGGTTTTCGTTCGTACCCACCCTCTTCGGGGAGGGCGACCCTTACGAACAGTTTACGGGCGCGTGGAGGAATTTTCGAAACGCTCTGGCGTGGTGCGACGCGACGTGGAAAACTATCTTTAGAGCTCACGTAGGGGCGGTGCTCTCGCTCGAAAATAGAATATTCGTCGAGGGGATATTCTCCGCTAAGAAATCCGGAGGGATCTCGATTTATTTTCTACCGTTGCGTTTCGCGTTTCGACGCGAAAACAAAAAATTCCAGGGGAGAAAAAGAAACGACGGGGAGATCGTAAATCGCGAGCAACGGAACGGCCGGGGCGACATAATATCTGCTCGAGGCTCGGTTCACCGCCTTGGGCAACTTGACAGGATGTTTCATGGAAGAGTGATCGAAAATTAAGTGACCGAGGAAAATCTGGCGTGAGATACGAGTTGTGGTGAAGTATGGTAAAAATAGAGCTTGTCGAGTAGGTGTATACAGTCCAAATATTGTAGTGACACTAGATTCGTTCATTGGGATAAATGTATTCTGTAACGTGAATCAATCTTTTAAAGTTTAATGACACAGACGGGTCCTGTTCGTGTGAGGATTAAATAAAAATTAGAGATACTAGTTTTAGTCACTATTGTATATCGTCCTCAGCACGTGCTCTAAAGTAGAAAAAGTAGGCAGCACTCGGGAGGCCTTGACTTCAAGTTGTACGTTTTCTGAGTAATTATTTTATATGAGGACTGTGTCTCACATTCTGACGTAGTCACATTAGAACATTTATGAATGTATGTACGTGTAAAAAATTATACTATATATGTACAGTATAATTAAATATAGTATATAGTAAAAATTATTTGATTTTACTTTTTTAACTTAACTATTACACTAGTTTCATAATAGAATTTATCTTAAAAGAATTTAGAAAAGCCGTTTGAAAATTAACCATTGCAGAACTTTCAGTCGGGCACTAACTACTATCTTCAGAAACGAGGATAATCGACCAAGCGTTTGCTCGTCCAGTTATCGAATGAAAATCGTACAGACACCAAAATCATGGATTACGGTATCGCGTGAACTATTAAACCGTGCTCATCCTGTCACATCCATGCAAATTAACTTCTCATCAAACTCATTTCCACCATTGAACATATTGCACCCCTCGATTGCCCCGAAGCTTCCTTAAATTTTCACTCGAAAAACTCCATTTTTGTACCACTTCGAGTTGTTACAAAAAAAGCCAAAGAAGCTTGAATCTGCGCGATTGTCATCGTCAATAAGCATCACCGAACTGACCTCTCTGCTGACTGGTGATCTGTTGCCGAGTGACTCGTTCGGTTCTCTGTTGCACGTATTGCTGCTGTTGCTGCTGCGTGGTAGTTTGCTGCTGCTGCATCTGTTGCTGCTGTTGCTGCTGCTGAGACATTTGTCGCTTCATCTTGGATCAACGGAGCAATCCAAGTCGTATGGGTCGATTAAAAAAATCAATCTTCGTCGTCGACGTTCCGGGGATCACAAAACGGTTCCCCTCCCTCAGCTACCCTTTTTCTTCCTTTTTTTGTTTGCCTTCGTCACCCGAGAATTACTTCGGCGTATAAATTTCCCCTTGTGTGGTGCACTCACTGGGCACTCAACAACAACAAAATCAGACCAGAAAAATCAAACTAAAAATAAAAACGGAAATCCTCGTGTGGTTGTCACTCGCGATTAATTCTACTACGATTCGTTGTGTAATACAATAATCCTCTTATTTTTTTCTTTCTCGATTTCTCTCGTGGCTGAAAACAGCGCTTTCTTCTATTTTCTTCTTTCGTCTGTGCTGCCTTGAGGCCGCGGCTCACTCCAGTCGGCAGAAGTCAAGTCATCATCAAAAATCTTGTCCCCGAGACTCTTTAAACCAAGACGTCGGTCGAATGCGAATTGCCGGCTGATGCCGCCTCGGAAAACGAACACGGCCTTCCACGAGGACGTGGCTCGACTTGGTGGGGGGTTGGAGGCAGAGGGTGGGGACGTCGAGCGTCCCGACGCTGACGACGGGCCACCGCGAGAGCAACGAAGACCGACACGAAGAGTCATTCGAAATTTTTCACACCCTGCTCGCTGGGAAGATTAATCGTTCGAATGGAAATAGTAACCATCCCTCTCAACCCCCTTCATCCCTTTATACTTTCATGAGGCTTTCTCGCTGCGAGAGAAGGTCTCGTAACTTTATAACGCTAAACAAGATTTATAAACGACTCTAGATAGAAATAAACAATTTTACGGAGTACCATTATAATTTAGTATGTATTTTATAATTTTTAAATCAATTTCCTTAATTTCTTTGATTTTTTTATTTATTTCCCCCTTCTTCGTGTATGGTATAATGTGGATTCAAGAGGGTATGAAATGTAACGAAAGTAATGGAAATAATGATAAATATATGGCAGAAAGAGCATGATACAAAATGAAAATAACAGTAAAAGTACAACTTGTGTGTGGATTATATTTCATTGTCTCGAATATAATTTACACGTGAGTCGTGTCTTTTAATACATCTTTTATTGATATTCAACCCGTAACATTGATAAATCTTGTTCTAAATGTTTTTGATGAATAATATACAAGTTTTAAGTGTATTGTTTTTCTTAGTTGTAAGAACAATATTATTTTATTATAATACTATAACCACAAGGCAATACACAATGTGCTTTCATGAATTCAAACTCAAATTACATCTGGTTAAAGGATGCATACCAACAAACATTTTTGTACATCCTTCGACTTAACAGTATACAATTCAATAATGAATGGCCATTAATGCTTAAAAAGTTTCGTACAAGTACCCGAAGAATATTGAAATATGTATAAAAAATTTGAAATCGACTGACCTAATATTCTTTCTGAAATTAATACTTAATGAAAACCTCGATTTGTGCTTCTTACATCAGAATAGAGTTTTCGCTTGCGAATACGTCATCGTGGAAAGGTTACTCATATCGTTAAGATTACATTTCTCGGATTTAGTGCTGCTTTCTGCGTGTATTTCGAGCACTGAATGCCTCCGATGATGCGCGGTATATATTTTTTTTGGCACGACTGTGTGTTTGGTGTTAAAGTTCCAACGAAGTGATCGTGGTGAACTAGTCGCGAATTAAGAGGTACAGCTATTAGAAAGTTTTCTTGGAATTTTGGCATTCGCGTCGGAGAAATTTATGTTTACTCTATACAGGAAGTATTAGAGTGATATGGATAAGGTTAACTTCGCTTGTCTAGTCTAGAGAATGAATTAATTACCGATCATTTTAAATGTTCTCGTGACTCATTTGCACTGTTCGAATAAAATTCAATTAGTCATATTATGTTTTTAGGATAACAGTTCCGAAATATATAAATTCAACTTATTTTCATTTGAATCCTATTTGTGATTCTACTTATAAATTAATTTTTGTATTTTTAATGTTAAGGAAATTTTATAATTTCAGATTACAATTCGTCCTATCTCGAATTTCGATGACTCTCGTTACAACTATGCTCGGTATATGAAGGGAATTAGGGAACGTTTCTTCGTAGAAGGCCATAGAGACTCGTGCAAGTCCCAAAGCGTCTCGAATCCAAACTGATTGAATTTAACGAGGCGGCCCTTTGCTTATTATTCGACGAGTCCTTCGCTCGTCGCTCTATCTTGCGAATAACCGGAAACACGTACAAATCACAAAGACAATCCCGCATCCAACCGAGTCGAATTCCAAAATCAGGTGGTTCCTTATCGTTGGACGAAGGTGGTTGCTCTAATCGACCGATAATTTACGCGTAACGTGGAACCGATAGCTAAAGCGGAGCCGCAAGTCGACGCGCGGCTCACGCAGCGTTCTCGCGCTCACTGACAGCCGCCCACGCATCTACGCACTGCTCCTCCCCCTCCATCTCCTTGTATCCCATCGTGGCAGTCCCTTTCTCGAGCTCATTCCCTTCCCCCTACTGTATTTGAGCCACCGGGCACAGACACGTATAGTCGCGGGAGCAGTCGGGTCTCTCGTGGACCGACGCACAGCCTCCGTATCCCTCTTTCGACATTTCATTTCTTCTTTTTGGTTTAAGGTCCGTTTTCACGTGACACGAACTCGTGTCTACCGATGCTGCGACACACAAGTTACGAGTCTCTCCAATGCCAATGCATTTCGTCGATAGAGAGTTTCGTATCATGGCGTTTCCTTGACGATGCGGAAATGAGATCGAGTAAAAATGATAAGTTTCACAGGTTTCGCAGTTTGATATTATCATATGAAGCGTTCACTGCGTAAATCGATCAACTCCACCAGTCAAATAAAAATTGTAACATTACCTGACTATTACTTTTTGGAAATTATTTCTTATTAATTTTATATACCGTTAGATGAAAGCTACATCTGTATTTATGTATTCTACAATATTTATTTGAATTTGTACTATAAAGAAAATGTTAAAAAACAATGTACATTATTTCGTCCTATTTCTCAACTTTTCGTTTTATGGAATTAATCCATTTTTGCAATGAACGGCTCATATTACGGTTTTAATGTTCTATTAATTAAGAGTTTGATGAAATCTTGTTTCCTGACAGATCTGACCGGTTTAAAAAGTAACTGGTTTGTGAATGGATATAAAATTGAGATGAAGAATTTTAATTTATAGTGTCTACAGAAATTAAACACGTGGACTCTATCTTCAACGAAGGCATCGCAAAAATGTTCGTAACTATTGTCAACACCGATGTGTTATTCAGTCCTCTTATCAGAAATTTTGAAAGAAAGTAAAGTGAAATTTTGAAAGAAAGTAAACAGTGAAACATATTTCTCTTTCGATGTTTAGTTTCTCCTTTTTCGTTTAAGGAAAACTAACCGTTTTCACGTGGTCCATTGATGCTGCACACACAAGTCACGAGTCTTCTAGGTCAACGCATTTGATGTTGGGTGGGAAGGGATCAAAGAAAAATTTTAAGCTTCACAGAGGAAGCAAATGAATATTTTTATATATGTGACAAACACTGATATTTATGAACTAAATTAAATTTAATATTCGTAATCACGTGGAGTCACAAATTTGTTGTACCATGCCCTTTTTACCAATCATCGAAGATTTGTCAGCAAGTAACATGGCAATACTATCTGTTGTTTCAATCCTATCTTAATAATCTATATTAGAAAATTAGTTTACCTCTCCTAATTCAATACTTGATTTCTCACTTTAAAATTCACAAAACTTCAATTTTATTTAGAAATAATTTATCTTAAAATTCAAAGTTCAAGCTAAAATTCAACTCGCTTTTTTCTAAAAAGTATAAGCCCCACATTAGTTTAACAGACAAATTCAGAAATGATAGCTCAAAATCTACAAAAAACGATTATCCTAGAAACGTTCACCTATATATTCCCATATCAACATTTAGATTATGAAACTCCATTTAAGAATTACTTGTTCTTGTACCAAGAATGTCATTTGAGTCCACAGTGCGCCACGGCACACTGATTAAGAATCACTGCGCTAGAAAGAGGTGAAGTTGTTAATAGAGTCAAAGTTTATGGCGATAAATTTGCTTCCCGACCGTAAACGTTCAGAGGCTAATGGTGCGTCTGGCACGTACGTTGCCAATTCCACGATAAATCGTTTCATTGTCGCGTTTCAATTTATCGTCGTACAGAAAGTCAGTCGGTCGTCAGGAACATTGAGCACTTTGACCTTCAACGGGAGCTCGAGACGCTGGTCACCGATGATTGTGTAATTTATCGGGCACTGGGTCGCCCGTTATATCCAAAATGTTACAATGCTGATTGTTCAAACGTGGCGCCAGTCAACAGGTTCGGGTCGACATTCTTATGAAACAAGTTTCGCAGTAAACGCTGCCAGGCTTTACGTGCTTGGTTTAAAGTATACCTTGTCAAAACACGCTTTCTCGAGGTAGAAATTCAGGAGATAAATTTCACGCAAATACTGCAATATTTAAGTTGTCTGATAATATTGCTTCGAGTAGGCCCTGAATTTATAAGGAGACCCTACAGTCATGTCCCTCGAAAATGTTCATGGCACTTGATGAGATGGATTTAGAAGTTGAATCATGACATTATGTAGAATATTTCGTTTCGATGAGTATTCTTTTTTACCTTGTTTAAAATATAATAATTCTACATCTCATGAGATGATGAAGCTATTGGTTTCAAAAGGGCAGATTACTAGGTTTTCTGGAAAGTCCATGTCGACTTTTGGTAGGTGGTCCAGGTCTGAATGTATCGAAATGATTGAAAATAAACAACATATATACATCCCTTATGGGGGTATCCTGAATTAGGAAGTCTAAAAAAGTGGTTTTTCGTGAATTTTGTTAGGATGGAAAAAATTATTAATTCTATCGAACTGTTTATCCTATTTTCATACATATTTGAGTAGTCTGTACAAATTTTTTCTCTAATTTAATTTGATAGAAAAGTTGGTTAAAATTTTTCTTTTATGAGTTTTTTTAGTTCACATAGAAGAAAAATGTATGAAAATGAAAATTTCTTTTGGTTTTTGTGTGTCAAACCATAATTACGATCTGCATCTTTCCCGCCGATAGGAGGTTTTAATTGTGAGGTGCTTTACAAATGTGCGTCACAATCGACGCAATTTGAATATTTCTTGTTTAAAAAATTTGTACAGACTACTCAAATATGTATGAAAATAGGATAAAAAGTTCGATAGAATTAATTATTTTTTCCATCCCAAAAGAATTCACGAAAATCCGCGTTTTTTAGACCTTCTAATTCAGGATACCCCCTTAAGAGATGGAAAAGTTGTGGAACAAAATGGTATCTATACAATTCAATAAATATGTATTAAAATTCAAACGTGCCTTTGAATTTTTCTTCAAAATTGACACGAACTTTCTGAACAACCTAATACATGGAATAAATAATTTTGCTGCAAATGAAATGGTGGGGAAGATTTGGAGTACTTTCCCATACAATTTGTGTTTTATGAATAAACAAAATCTTGAAAAACTCATGAGAAGGAAATAATAAGAATAAAGTTTATCCGACTTAACAAATAAGGGAAGAGAAAAATATCTTTTAAACCGTTTCGTGGGATTAAAAAGAATAGGAAGACACAGTCTAGCTTATCATAGCAACCAATTTACTTCTGATGGTGGTGTTCGTTGCGTTCAACGTTTGGCACGAAAGATTATGTGTAGAAAAATCTTGTCCAACCGTTACCGTTCCGTGTCTAAGCGAATCGGAGCGAAACAGGCGCTACTCGCGGGTATCCACGGTGCAACGTGCATCCATGATGCAACCGTGCATCCACGATGCACCATGTGAGTACTCGCGAGATGTACCGCGCCAATGAATCACGTAAAATCTTAAGAACCTCGTACCACTAGCTCCATTATCATCTTACAAAACTAGGATATTAGCACAACTATAGTTGACGGTTCGAAATTGTCGTCAAAGATTGGAAACCTTTTTCAAGGTTTGTACTATAATTAATCGAATCACTTTCAAATAAGTTAATATAGACATAAAGTAAAAATTGAACTTTGTATCAAAAGTTTCATTATTATTTTACACAGGTAGAATATTAGCCCAATAGTAATGGTTAAAATGGTTAAAATTTCTCGTCAAATTTTAGAAACAGATTTCAATATTTCTATTGCAATTCATCGAAGCATTTGCAAGTAATGTTAACCGAATTAATGGAAGAATCACGAATAGAAAATAGAAATAATTGAACCTCACGCCAATAGCTCCCTAATCATCATTCACAGTTAGAACATTAGGCCAAAAGTACTTCATGGTTAAAATGTCTTGTCAAATTTTAGAAACAGATTTCAATATCTCCACTACAATTTATCGAAGCACTTGCAAATAAAGTTAACAGATTAGTTAACAAACATGAATAATAAACTGTTGAGGTAGAAATACAAAAATGGAACCTCGTACCAACAGTTGCATTATGACCTTACAAGTCTAGAACAGTAGCGCATCAGTAGCCGACAGTTTGAAACTTCCACCGAACTTTGTAATCAACATTAAAAAAAAAAACAGGAAATGATTGCTTCTAGGTTTAACTTTAATCCGACGCTGAAGGCGCGTTGTGGGTCAGATCCAGCCGCGCGAGCGTGTAATTCAGACATTACGCCAGGCAAGAATCGTATACAGTGTACAATGGCTTCGGTTTCAAGTTACGAGGTGAGAGAGGCACACGCATATATGGACGCACGCGAAAACTCGGCCTTTTGCTGCTGAATCTTTCGCAATCGGAACGACAGAATCTGCTCCTGTTCGTTTATTGCGTGCGTACCACGCGCTTTCGACGGAAGACAATGTCAGCGCGTGCGCCACGAATACAGTATGTCCTTTTAAGGGGCACGTGTGTATTTACACGGTTATTAATTGTGTGCTACATTCGATTGCTTGTTCCAAATACATCTGAGTAGATAAAAGTAACATTTAGAATATTTGAAGAGTCTCTCTTAAAAATTCGTGAAAAAGACGGATAATTTTGTAAACTTGTAGAAACAAAAATATAATAGATGAAATAGAAAATTTGCATTGCATATTTCATTCACTGATGTCTGTTATAGATGCAAATATAGCACGAGAAGTTTTCTTTGAACATGTCGTTTATTTTTCTTTTTTTTTTTTATTATTAAAGTGTATTAAAGAAAAGTATTAAATTTGTAGTCTTCTCGAGGATTTTATTTAGTCCTTACATTGTAAAATATTTAATTCTTTTCCAACTAATTCTATGATTCGCCCTCGTTAATTTTATTTATCGTAGTTTCTAATAAATGTTCTATACTCCATTAGATGGAGTCATAGGCTCCATTTTTTCTCTACTAATTCAAGCACCTACGCCAATCACAGGGAAGATTGTTCGAATCACAAATAGACTTGGATCCCACCCAGTTATTAATGACATTTATGAGATTTACAAGTATAGGTGACATAGATTTCGCATCACATAATGCAAACGTGAAACTGCATTTAAATAAAGACGGGTGCATTACAATACCTCATCAATTTTATGTAAAAACAATAACTTAGGATATAAAATAAAAAATTACAATTGTAGTAAAGAAGAAGGAGAAATTAGTCAAATATAATGATAAATTAAAATCACCTATTAATGCTAGAACACAAGGATGACAGAAATGTTAAAGAGATTTTCACCAAACTTGATTTTAATCTTGCTAATATGATACGAAGTAGAAATTAGAGCACACTGTCCTTGATATAACAAAATAAATATAAATTTTCAATTAAATAAATATTAATGTAACACCAACAATAAAATACATACAAATATAAATCTTCGATCAAATAAACATGAATATAACGTTCGTTTTAGCGAAATCTTTATTAGTTTTAAGCTTTCACTTCACATGAAAAGTTTGCAAATTGAATTTAAATCGTGAAAACGATTATTATTTTTCCTAACTTCGAAAGATATCTTGAATAACAGGGTGTATCTACTATCATATGACATATCGTGCGTGTATAGCAATGGTCCCGAAAGGGTTACTCGTGGTCTATCATGATCATTAACGAGACTGACTTGACATTGAGTTTTGCAATGGTTATTTTCGGTATCGCGACATGGAAGTTCTTAAGTGATACATTTATGCGGGATATACCACGGTGCCAGAAACGTGACACAATGTCTGAAGAGTGACAGCTCTTTTAAGACACATTTTATTCAGATTTATTTACATTGCCTGGTGACAGGTGACAAAGTCAAATCGAAAGGGTAGCAATGCTGAAGAAGTCCCGAAATTGTATGGCGTGAAATGGTGAGTTATTATAATGTTCATTAACAAATGGAACAGAATATTGCTCTGGAAAATCTAAAGATTGAACTGTCTCAAATAACTCTAATTTCAGAGCAAAGAGTAATTTTTTTTATTGTTTACGAAGTTTTTAAGTTGATGCAGATCAATCACGAAGATTCCGTGCTTTTTTCAGTGAAAGTTTCATTTATATTAAGCTTCTACTTCCTATTCTTCAATAGTATCTCCGTTATTTTGATCAATTATCAATTGAGTCTAAAAAGTGCTATAACAATGTTATGTTTCCTACATGCATGGAATATTTTGAATAACCGAGTGTATCTACTTTATGAACTCTGTTACTCAAGATATACCATGAAGTTTGAAAGAATAGATCCATGTGCTCGCATATGTGTTATTAGGCAAACAAAATAACAAGAGATTTGTTTACTCATCATCTACACCTGAAATATTTGATACAGCTTGTTACTCTAATTTTAAGGTCTGACACTTAGCAAGGCATATTGTTGTGCTCGTTGAGCTTGATGTAATGATCTAAAATATAAGCAGAAGAAGGTCCCAGAAAGCACTATATACTAAGTAAAAGTGACTGCCAGATTCAAAGTGATTCATAAAAACAATATTATACTCAATTTGCAACTTGTAGTAACCAAATCACTCGAGGTAAAAATATTTAAAATCTTTCTACTAACAACGAAAATACCCCAACATTTTCAAATTCCATTACTCGCTGTCTGTGTAAGAAACTTCTACATAACAATGACTGTTACAATATTATTTTTAGAAGAGTTCTTTATCGGCACGTTCAGTGAATCAGTGATATTTGATCGCGATCCTTCGAGGCATGATTTCGTTATGAAACTGCTAGTTTTAGAGCCGCCAACCTTGAAGACTATAAGAGCTACTGTATAGTCTTCGTTCTTGTTGTGCTACTTGTTGTATGTAAGAACTGTACCTTAAAAATCATGCAATGATAAGTACATTAAAAAAGAAAGGAAAAACTTATTTTATTATATGCTTAAAGTGTAAGAATTTTACACTTTTATTGACCGTTTAAGACTCTCTCGTTCTTGATCATCTTTTGAAATACGAGAAAGTGAATCTAAGAACTAATTTATCATTCAAATTAATTCTCATCTACAATAGTTGTCTCCACAAATTGCAATAAAATCATTATTAATAACTAAGTAATTCTAAAAAGAATTCACCGACGGTCAAATTCACCGACTTGGTAGTTTTAATGTCAACCCATTTAAACCCGGGAGGGTTAACAGCGAACCAAGCAAGAAATGAAGAATATCTCGAAGATCCACTTTGGTGAATCGATAACACTAGCTTCGAAAATCTTCGAAAGATGGGTCACGAGTGAATCACCAAGGTAGCGCATAGCGACGTGTCTATTTCGAGGACCGAGGGATACTCGGTGAGAAGTGGCAAATGGGGTGCCGTCGTCTATGATTCAACGTCCGCCTCGAACCCTACCAGAAACCCGTGCGAGTTCCACACACGCTTCCCGTGTGTATAAACTGCCAAGACGTGACGAGGATACCCACCTGGGGCACACGTACACCCGTCGAATGCTATTTTCGCGGACTAGTACGAGTAATCGTCCGAAGGACCCTGAATGTGGGTTAACCGAGCCTCCACTCGAAGAGACCCCTTGTCTTCGGCACGAAATGGAGGATCGAGATAAATCTTATGCGACAGGCGAACGATGCCAGCGGTATTTGATACTCGTTTAACGGGTGGACGCCAAGGTGTTGCTTCACGTGGCTGTGCGAATTTGTTTGAATCTCGTTTACGAATTGTGTTGATAGTCTTTGGAGCAACAGAAAACTACGATCGAAGGTTATCTTAGATGTTTTTTTTTATTTCGAAAACCTAAGAGAGCACAGAAGTTTTTGGTCGATGCGTAATATTCTTAAATTTTAGGCTGTCCAGTTTTAATAACTATAGCTCTCTATGATTTAATTTCGAAATTTTCACTTCCGGGAATAATAAAAATGAAATAGTAATTACGGTTATATTTTTCTCACCAATTAACCCTTGCCAAATTTTCCGTAGGCTTATATTACATTATAAATTTAGCTAATATTTTTAACTCTCCACAGGGGGTGGATCTAGAAGAGCTCAAAGAGCGTTTGACTACTCCATTTCTGGAAATAATACGAATTAAATAATAATTATGGTTCTATTTTTGTCACCAATTGACCCTTGCCATATTTTTCTTGGACTCATTTTACATTATAAATTAATTATGTACAACAAATGGTCAATGAAAGTTGGTAGGTGAAAGACAAATCGAGCCATTTAAACTCCCAAAGAAATACATGTATGTACATCTATATTAACAAATTAGGTGGAGGGCTTATTATTTAAATTATCTATAAATTTCTAACGTTAAAGCGCATTTTAAAAATCACCTTTAATATTTTCATTCTTTTGCTCCGCCCTATTGTACGTCCTCGTCGTGCGAGAATAGTTTCGACGGATTATTTTTAGAAAATCTGTACTTGATACGCTATTTTTATCGAGTGGATGAAGAATCATTTATGAGTAACTGGTCGAAAGTGTTTAAAGTCTCCAGAGGCGTTGAAAGTTCCCTTTTGTGTCCAGTAAATATGCGATACTAATCAATCGATGTTGCTCAGTGGTATCATAACTGATGTTTATAGTATTCTTTTCTATATTGGTTAATTTGATAATTTTTCAAAAGACATTGCTGGTCCTTGTGATAAGAAGTAGTTTGGAACACGGAAAATATTAAAACTTTTAAAAGAATTAGTATATACAAGTTTTTTAATAGAATTTCGTTATGTATATGGATATCATTAAGTCCTTTAGATATAAAAACCTCTGTCCTAAGAACTGTTTTGATAAATGTTTTGATTACAACAGTTTGTTGAATGCAACATTGTTCTGCTTAAAGTTTTTTTTTTCCGATAATAGTTTTGATACATATGCTCCAATCTAGTATCGTGACCACGGTGTGTATATTTAAGACAACACATGTACGAAATACATACACGGAGTCAGAGATGATCAAACATTTATTTAAACGACAGATATCGATAATACAGTACTTTATTTGCAACGATAATGCAATGAAACAATTGATTTCCTACTCGCTCATTCTCAAATATTTTATTTTATAATTGAAATTCTAATTTTTATTTTACCAGTAACAGACAATTGCTTGCCTCTTATTCTTATCCTTAAATGAAAGCTTTTGCGAAATGTCATGATAGGTTTGAAAGAACACTTACCGCTGTCTCCTGACTTCACCTTCGACGGAGTCCACACGGCGTATTCGCGATTGAAGCAAAAATCACTAGCATCGCGAAACGAACCGTTCGTTTCGAAATCGGAATACTCGAGCCGTCGTAATATCGGATTTCTGCCTGTTATCTCGACGCATTCTTCCGTCGCGTTTTGCTCGTCCAAATAGCTGCCACCTGCGTAACTAAAACGAATAACGACTCGATCAGTCGTTAACGATTTTCACACGGGCTGATTAATTTTTCGTTCGAAGCGAGCTTTTATATACTAGTAAAGATAGTAGTTTTGTTTACATTACATTATATAAATTACAAACATTACATTATAAATAAGTTAACAAAACACGCCTGTCAGAGTAGTCGTAGTGGACAAATAAACGATATCATATGTTAGATTTAATTACTTTCATTTAATATAAAATAAAATTGAATATATTCCAGTCGTGACTATTTAACCGTGCGTGTTGTTAAGTCACGAACCCTATTATAATTAATCGCGTACCTGCGATCCGAGTACAGACTATACTCAAACGATGGATCGTGCCACTGTTGACGATTCGTGTAACTTTGTTTGAAATCGTTTTCTGGTGGCAGGAACAGGTCCCTGAGCGCAACATACTTTGGTGGACTATCGATCGTCCTTTCGCCGACATTTTGGTCCCGATAAGTACCATAAAACGGCGATGGTACACCTGTAATTAATACCCACATGGTGATTAGTTAAGTCCCATTAATATTCCACACGTTTGGAGAAGCTTGAAACGATTTACAAACCAAAATCTACTTTTTGACGAAACTTTGTGTAAATGTTTATTTGTCTAACCTAAAAGCTCTGTTGTTAACCCTTTGCACTCGAGCGGCGCCGCTACGGCGCGCGGCGCCCGGGCAGTATTGCGCGTCCACTCTACGGGCGCCGTAGCGGCGCCCAGGCCTTCTTTAACTCGTTATGTTTGTTTTCGATGCGCGATAAGATGTTTGACAAATTTGTACACCCTTTCTAAGCAAGAAAAAAAGAAAAGAAAGGAAAGATCACTAAACCATTTAGGTTATGTACGTAGAAACGCTTGTGGAAGAATTGGGAGAACCGTATCGCCAGCATCGCGATCAAGCGGCGAGACCAAACAACGATGAGTCTCGGCTAAATGGAGGCGATCATATTGTTTTGAAAGTGATAAAGTGGGACTGTAAGATTTGCTATGGCTGTAATAAACCTGGCGCCAGACGAGAAACCTGATATTATTATGATACATGCCCTAACAAACTGAGAATCCATCTCGGGGATTGTTTTGTAAAATATCATGCAAAAATCAAATACAAAGTAAAATATTTAACAGATTGTGTTTTATATGTTGTATGTTTTATAAATTTTATTATTTGTATACGTTTGCTTGAATTTAAGATCATTATAAAGTACTAGTAAAACGCTTCCCTAATATAGCCGAAATCGTTTGGAGTTGCTAGTTCGTCTCAGAGAAAAAGGCCTCGAGTGCAAAGGGTTAATACTTGTTGATTTTAAAGCTGTAGTCACTTTATGTCATAGTTAACAAGATTATTTATGCTTATATAAACATTTACATCATGAAAAGTTCTCAAAAAATTGATTTGGGAAATAACAAAGCTTGACTTATACAACTGGAGTCACCCTTAGAAAAAACAAAATTATATAATTTTACATGCTTTCATATATATGTGTACATACTCATGAACATAACTTTCACCTGTTGATTCAGATAATCTATTCTTAGATAAGAAAAGTATTTATTTATTTATAATATTCATGGTATCGTTAAGTATAGTTTAAGTATCAAATAGTTTACGTTCAGAGTATTCTATTAAAGTATTCTAGTAAAGCCTATATTCGTGCAAGCGAGACACAACATACCGTGCCACAGTCTGATGATGATACTCGGATACGACTATAGGGAAGGTTAGTGAAGGTCGTAAAGCTATCGTCGTTGTTACTAAAAGCCAGAACCCTTTAAAGCAATGAAAGATAGAATTGCGTAGCCTGTCGCCTAGTTTCTTCGAAAATAGAACGAATTATAACCACACAAATGAGAATACGAGAAAGAAGTATTATAACAAATTAAATTAATCTACTCGATTGAACAGCTGCATTCTTGTCCATTGCAAAGTATTCCATACCTGGTTCAAAATTTAATTCCAATTTAACCAACAACAGATAAAAAATTCGACATCTTTTACATGTATATAACTGTATATAAATAAACATGTATATAAATAAAAGTGAATGATTTTTGACCTACTTAAGATTTGTTAAAACTTTTTCATTCAATGTCTAATCACTTTCGAGCTTTAACACTGAATGGGTTCAATTTCGATTTCATTCCTTAGATTTCAGTTACTGGAATTGAATACATACATGTAAATTATTAGCTGTCATTGATGCCAAAATGTAATATTAATTTCAACTTTTCACCATGGTTTGAACAATCCTTTATGCTTAAATAATCAAAGATATTTATTTTAGAAAATGCCTAATTCCTTAAACACATTTTTATGATATTATATACTTGCGAAATTTAACTGATAATAATAACATACAATTCGATCCAAAAACGATCTTAGATATATGTGCCAGAAATGAAACATTCATTTTTTCAATTTACATAAAATGTAATAATATTATATCAAAGCAACAGAAAATAACATTATTTATTTTTTGCAATATTGTATGCCAAGAATGTTATGTATCACATATTTTATTGTTGCCACAATTATCCTAAATGCCCAAATGCAGTATTTAAAAATAGTATTTGGCGCCTATAAACCACCAGTTTATGGATGGCAGAGTAGATCACTACGGTTCATTCAACCGATTTTCGATCAAAGAGCGACTGGTCTGCGAGCTTGAGCGGCCAGTGACGTTTCGACTCGATCAACGATATTCTTCTTGAAATTTAGTCTTAGTCGATCCGCGACTATTTTTGGCGACTCTTGCGCGCCAGACCTCCTGGAGATTCGCAACGTTTCTTATTACGTCTTGGCTGGAATCCACGTAACACTGTTAAACAGCACATAATCGCTATTCGAAAATTTAGAAACCGGTTTCCGGTTCGTCATAGCGAAACCAGACAAGTTTCTTTAACGATCAAATGGAAACTTTGAAATATAAAGAATCTGCGAAGTATCCTCAGCATTCGAGCGAAGAAAAATCTTCAAAATAAATAATGATTGGAATGATAGCTTATTTGCAAAATTACATTTGACGTAATTAGATTGTTGATCGTTTGAAAACGGCAGTGTTGATTGAATAGTAGCTTCGAACTCGAAAGGTTTTCATAATCCAAGGGGTTTCCACGAGGGGCTTTAGGATTTTGTTTTTAAATAATAAAATATGCTTGTCAGGGTAATCATGATAGACACTTAAACTACGTCATCTTTTACATATAATTATAATTTTGTGTATTTCTATCTAAAGTAAAAGGATTAGATATATACCATAATATGTGTATCTTATTAAAAAAAATTCCTGAAGCCTCTTTTAGGAAATACTTACTTGAATTGAATATAATAAATTCATTGTACGACAGTGTTTATTTATATTTCTTCTGAAGGAGGCGGTATTTCTACTTCAAGTCCATGATTGATCATAGTATTATATTTTAATTTTAATTTTACACGTGCTCTATGCATTTACATAATTTTTCACAATTAATTGTAAATATTTGTGCTTTCATTTGAAATTAAAAAAAAAAACGTGTATACTCGGCACCACTTATATTTTATTAAATAACAAAATTCGAAAGTTCCGTTTGGAGAACTTTTTAGATTCCAAAATATTTCAATGTAAAAAGTTATCTACGCTGTTCTGTATAAAACTTTGGAAGTCTTTGTTGCACTGATATTAGGAGAGTTGTTACAGTGGAAGAGATTCGTTCATTATGCAAAAGTAGAGAGAGGAAGTGCGATTCTGTAACCTGAATACCTATGACGCGTTTTTCTGAAAAAAAAGAAGAGTAAAAATTGTACCGAAATCTTTAACAATCGTAACCGCTTGTTTTTCTCTCGTTTATTCTTGGATCACCGACTCATATTTTCCAACGCATTCCGAGATTACCTTACCGTCTATTTTCATACCGCATCATCCAACAGCCGTTCATCGTTCATGGGAACGTTCAAGCATTTGATCTCTCCGAAAATATTAATCCTCCCTTAAAAATACATTAACGGTGCTTCACGCGAAGTAACCAAATTACACTATAATTACTTCACACATTTTCACCATTTCTCTAATAAATTTGAAGCGTGGCTTTCGTCTTTTACTTTTATATTAATGATAATTTAAATTGAATTGTATATTATTTAATAATACTCAGCAAACATTAGTCATAAACCTAAACATTGTAATGTAAATACAATTCTGATCATCATGAGAGAGAAAATTGTAATGAATTAATAATTAATTTAAAAGAATTAATATATCCTTCGACCTCTATTTAATAGAAAATAGTAATACTTTTAACAAAGTCACGTAATTTCGTTCAACGATAGTTGGAGTTAGATTCTTGAAACTAATCTTAAAAATTGCCAACAAGACTCAACGAATACTACAATTTTGTCATATACGTTTATAAAATGTTTAAAGTGTAATTGTAATTTTTTTTAAAGTAATTTTTAAGAATTCAAAAAAAATAATTTAATTCAACTGCAAGGTGTACTGTATTAAAATGATCCTCGAGATGGTGAAGTACGAAAAGTAATTTCGGTCAGTTATTTTTTCAATTATGATATAGTAATTCAATTTTTTATTTGGAAGGTACGGTACCAAAGTTGGTTATCGATAGGTAAATCTTTCTCGATTCTATCTAGTATTACATTTCACTTGACCAAGGACAATGTTTAACGAAAAGCCTCATCAGCATCCCCTCATGCATAGAGCGGTGCGTCTGTAGGTGTTAGTAACCCCCGAATGTTAGTAGCGATGTTGCGTTCCACATATTTTCTTTTCTCCTCCCAAAATAAGTGAGTGCCCGAAATACGTATGACGAATCGTGCAATAAGAGCAAGATGGAACAATGCTTTCGATACGTTATTGCGGCACTGAAGGTCTCGCTTATTTGTAACGCTTTATTTTCCAATCTTACTTCACACGCTCTATACAAAAATAGAGAATCGAGACACTGTAACTAGACACGTGTGCCGCAATAACACAATTAAAGATGGTTCCTTTAATCTTGTTGTTCTGTTAGTCTCCACGGCGCCATCGATTTATTTTTATTTACTTCGAATTTTATGGCTTGGCAATTCGTTGGATCTTCATTCATTATTTTTAAGAGATATTCTAAACATTCAGTACTTTTTCAGGACATGAAAAAATAAATTTCAGATTTTTAGAGCGTAGAGTACTCGTTTAGATGTAAGAGAAATGAATAGATAACCTAGATTCAGAGGTAGAGTTGATGTAAGCTTTGACTGCTTCGACATGACTCAGGATTGCTATATTTTATTAATGAATACTGATCAATTTTACTAGAATAAAAAAGAATGGATTGTGAAGAGCAAAATACTCAAGGCGTTTCATCTTGTACTTTAATAATAAAATAATATTTTATTAATAGAGTTGAAATAGTTCTATCAGTTTTCTAGAGCATACAATAATACAAGTTGTTAAGTAGATAAAATTAAATAGAAACTACTAAATATTGTTCCTTATTTTTATACCCCCTTAAGAATCTAAAGATTAACAATAAATTTTCATTTTATACTAAGACTAAATATTTATTATCATTTTAAATTCACTTTAAATCCATTTTATCCATTTAATAGATCAAATTAAATCTACTTTACAAGGAATTAATTTTACCTACTCGACTATCTTATTCTCTGAAAAATTCAACGAATCCTTCTCCAACCATAAACTCGTACAGAACAGCAAGGTTAGTCGTTTCGCCACTTATATTCTATCATGCTGATACCCAAATAACGTTAGCAACCTACCATTCTGCACCATAACCAGCGATGCTTTGCTCCAGCAAGTGAAAACCTAACTATCGGCAGTGAACAATCAGCCACAGAAAAGAGAACAGAGATAGGAGGGATGGACGGAATAAAAAGGCGAGAAAATAATTCGTCACACCATAGTACCCAAGTTTTTTTTTTGTATTGCAGAGGAAGCACACATTTATTTACACAGTATATGAATAAATTGTTGCTGCGATGAATGACAGTGTAGATAACAATTTGTGATCGTCTTCTCATGTTTGATTTATTTCTCTACAAGCGACGAAGCTTTTTTTAATATCAGAATCGAGAAAAGACAATGACAGCCCGATAGAAGGACGCACGACATCTCGATGCTCGTGAACGTGACATCCTCGCGCGGACGTCGACTTTTTCCCCCTTAACAATAAATAATTCCCTCGCTCGCGTTCAGCTTGACCAAAAGTGACTAGCATCGTTTCGAACAGAATCACGGCGGTGGTAATTTTAGACTGCGAGTAACTCTTGAAATTTCCTCGAAGACAACTCGAGCGAAAGACACTCGAAAGCGTTTGTCGTTCGAATACGATTAGACAGCAGCTACAGTTTCACTCGTTTAGCCTCTGACTGGTATCGCGATCGACGCTTCGTTCGCGAATATTGTCAAAAAAAAATTACCGCGATTCTAGTCTATGACGGGGCGGGGGCGATAAAAATTAAGAAAAAAATATCGCGAGAACCTTAGCAGCACTTTGCTAAGGTTTCCACTTCGCTTTGAGTCATCCTCTGAAGACTTGCAAATGTTAGAAGTTCTCTGTGTTATTTTACAATTTTTTGAATCTTAAATTTTCTTTATAATTTTACTTTAGAACTTTACTTTTACTTCCGTTATAATGTTTACTTCTAGGTTGAAAGTTGTTGTACACGTGGATAGAATTAATATATTTTGAATGAATTTAAATGAATGTTCCTGTTTAATTTATGTTCATTTTAGTATTGATAAGTTACTAGTAACTTTCTTCTTTTTCAATTAAATGTAATAAATTTTCAATACAATGTATATAAACTCGAATGAATACATTTTTATATATTTTTTAATGTTGATACTGATTATTATATTTGCAGATACGAAACTTGATTAAGAATGATAATTGGTGTCATTCCTGAGGAATGACAAGCAACTTTGAAAGAAAGACAGAAATTTAATCTATATTCAGTAACTAAAGAATAACTTTCTTCACTTGACATTTTTCTTAACTCATAAAATTAACTTTTATTAATTTAATGTTTCTCTTTCTAAGTCTTCTGTCGATGATTCAAAATGAAGAATTGAAACGGCAATAAAAGAGCTATTCCAAGACTGCCCAAAACTTTTCCTTATTTTTATCCGCAAAAGTCTCTGTATTGATATTTATTAATACGTATTCTGCGTGCTCGAGAAAGAGACTAGAAAGGAAAATACCCGAGAAAGAGGTGTACAGAAGTAGGAGTGGATGATGAAGATAGAGATGAAAGAAAGTAGATAGAAACAGAGAAAAACGACCTACTAAAAAGCGCTTTCAAATCGTTCAACGGCAACAACGACAGAAAAAAAATGCATTCGAAGGAAGCTCACTACGCGCTGATCAATTAAGTAAAAAGCGTTTTCCACCAGCTTTTTCCGAATCTTTTTCTTCGACTTCTCACTATTCGGTAATCAATGACTAGTTCTCCTCGCCCCTGTCGCAAAATCGTTTTCGTATACAAAATGCAAGAGAAAAAAAAAATCGCTAATAACTAATACTTCGTTTCTTTTCGTTGTCTCCGCTCGGCCGAATTCTGCTCCCGAATATCAACTCGCGAGATTTTCAACATTTCCTCCTTTCATCTTGCGATCCGAGCTACGTCTATATTCGTCGTTCCCTTACTTTTCTTTTGTTCTTATCGAAGTTTTTCTTAACAATATCAATTGAAATGTATTCGTTGTTTAGTTTTCATTTTGATTTTCGTGATAGACAAAAGATCAATGACACAAAGTGAATGCGAATGCGTGATTACGGCCGATCGAAGTTAAGAGGCCCCCAATGTTCCACCACCTTCGTATTAGATTGCGTTGTTTTTTTTTTTTTTTTTATTAAATCCCCTCTCGACCATTATTAAATAGGCGCGTATACTGATCGTCTGTTACCTGGCACCTCCAAAGTGGCAGAAGTCACTGTCGAACCTAAGCTATTCGTTGCTGTGCACGCGTATGTGCCAGCGTCCTCTGCAACAAAAATAAAATTGCAGTTAGCAAAAAGGCGAAATGGTGACAACGTTTAATTTTATTTATTCGAATAAACGATTATTATAGCGTATATATAATAGACGAATCAAACATAATTCAGTTACGTATTTCTGTTAGTTAATTTGTATGGTAAAGGGTTCAACTTTTATTTTAGGTCCTCTTCGGTACAAGAGGATGGAAAAAGTACTGTTTTATTAAAAATTAAAAGCGTTAAGCCTCTTATGGGAAATCCTTTTATTTTATCACATACCAGGAAAGGCTCGCACGATGGTTAGACGACAAACGCCGTTCCGATAATGGATTTCATAGCTTGATGAATTTTCAACGATACGACCGTCCTTGGACCAAAGGATGTTCGGCTGCGGCTCAGCTTGAACAATGCACTCGAATCTTGCTGTTTGTCCACTCACCACCGCGATGTCCCTCAGTGGCTGAAATTCGTATATGTAATTCACATAAGCAATCATTAGAATTAGCTAGTATCCCTTTGTACCGAACTCAAGTTTTATTTATGATATCGCGAATTGAACTGGAGAGATGAATTTATAAAATTAAATTTGTAACACAAGTACAAAGCGTTAGATATAGGTTAAATTAGATTACAGTTAGAAGAGATGTTACCGTGATAAAAAGTGGAGCCTTCTTCGGTAGTATTTCGAGGTAAGGCTGAATCACTTCTTTGCTCGAGGCCACTCCATTGGTGGTTGGCCACGGTGATCCTAGAATAATCAGCTCGAATTAACCAATGCAATCTTGAGATATTCGAACGACGATTTACACTCGACAACATAGAAAAGTATACTTCTCGAGGAAACTCGAATGTCACGTGAAAACATGACGAAAGCCAGAAATGTGTAACGAACAAAAGCAGAGGCAACTCATCGGGAAAAAAATGATAAATCATGTGCTCTTCATAAAGGGAGGTGAAAGCATTTGAAAACACAAACTCAAGGAAATGAAAGCATCGCAGAAAGCAAATAAAATCAATTCTCAATCCTCCGGAGATAACAAAAGCTCTTTTTATTACAGTGGACCATGGCAAAACAGAGAGAAATAAAGCAACACTCAAAACTTTTTGAAATCAGCACGTGAAGGTAAACACTAGAGCATTCCTTTCTTCAGCCATCTAGACTCCTCATCTTCCTATACTTCTCCTAAAGAAATCTAAATTTTAAAGAAGACATTCCTGTAGGTATCCTTTAATGTTTCTTACCAAATTTTCAATGCAATAGTCTAGAATTTCAATATGGAAGCTGCGTCTCCTTGAAAACTGATTTCTACTAAATTAGCCTTGTAAACAATAGTCTAAACACGCAAACTAGAAGCAGTGTCTCCTAAAAAAAAAAAACTGATTTCTAATGTAACCAGGGCATTGTAACAAAAGTAGACTCAGAATATTGGGATTCTTCTCATTTTCCTTCCCTGGGCCTAGAATCCCAGACGAGACCCTCCATATAGATTTCAAGTACCGCATGGTGTTTACTGCACCAATGGGACCGCTCGGGGCCGAACCGAATTTTTTCCTTGAAAATTACCAAACTTTGAAGCGTTATAGCTTGAAAACTAATAAAAATCGGGTAAATACATTAAAGCTTAATGGATTCGTCTTGAAAAGTACTATCGCATGGTATAAAAAAAAATATACAGTGTGTCTACGTGTAAGTCCGGACATACGCAAATTGTCAATTCTACAACAAATGTCCAACAAAAAATTACTCTTAGACATTTTCTTTGTGTCGCCTTAGTCTCGAGTATTTTCACTTTTAATTTTTTTTCCGTGTTTTCGACTTGACACTATTTAAACGGCCATAACTCCACTAAATTACAATGCAAACTTAAAAGTAAGAATACCATTCGAGAGAGCGTAGAATTTTCCTTCTCCCTGATGCAAAATCAAAATTTATTACGTAGGTTTAATAAGTGAAAAATTAGGTCAAACTTTAAATTGTGACAATTTTTAAATATTTGAATTTTTCTCTATCCGTTTTTTGGTTTTAAATACATAGTTGTTTGGCAGGCACTCCTCGAGAAGAACTTCCTCGGAGTCTCAGCTTTTGAATGGTATTGTCAAAAAAAAATTCTACGGTTGTATTTTAGGGAGAAAATGGCTCTCCCGGCCGCGTGAAGAGCCTGAGTGAGAGGTGAATAATAATTGTTTTTGAACATGTATATATAGAATTTTCATTTTTAGAGACTATTTAATTAAAATCTACCTCGGTGTACCGATAAATGATATGGAGATTGCAACACGATCGATTTCACAAAGCAAAAAATCGATGTTTTCGGCACAGGAGATCGGATAAAAGAGTTTAAATTTGAAAAAAATAATTTATTGGAAAAAAAACAAAACCTTGAGGTGTTGAAAAATCAGTTTTTTTCTTAATTTGGGAGATTCGGGAGTGTCACCAAAAAATACATCAAAGCCGATGTCAAGCTAATTTTAAAGTGACAAGTCGATTTTTGTTGAAAAATGTCGATTTTCACCTAAAAAAGTCCGCTTTCCTGCATTCAAACATCATTTTCTCCCTATAATACCAACATAGAATTTTTTTTTGACAATACCATTCAAACTCTGAGACTTCGAGGAAGTTTTTCCCAAGGAGTGCTCGCCAAACAACTATATATTTAAATCCGAAAAACGGAAAGAGAAAAAGTCGAATTTTTTGGAATTTTCACAATGTAAAGTTTGACCTATTTTTTCACTTGTTAAATCTACGTAATAAATTTTAGTTTTGCATCAGGGAGATGGAAAATTTAACGCTCTTTCAAATGGTGTACTGATTTTTAAGTTTGCACTGTAATTTAGTGGAGTTATGGCCGTTTAAATAGTGTCAAGTCGAAAATACAGAAAAAAAATTAAAAGTGAAAATACTCGAGACTAAGGCGACACAAAGAAAATGTCTAAGAGTAATTTTTTGTTGGAAATTTGTTGTAGAATTGACACCCTGCGTATGTCCGGATTTATACGTAGACAACCTGTATACATGTTATATATATATATGTATATATATATGTAGTATCGATGGTATTACATTTTTTACATAAAAAATCAGAAAGTCTGGACTCCAAAGCATAAAAATATTACAACCTAACAAAATTTATAAGACAAACTTTGACCAGATACTATAAATACATATTTCAGAGTGTACTGGATAAACTGGCCTTAGACTTGTTCCTAAAGTGCTCATCTTGTTCGTAAACTTCTCCTGTCAACAGGACTGCCAGGAGGGCTTCCTGGACATGGCTCGTTGTATCGTAGCCATTTTTACATATATTTTAACAAACAAATTTATGCATCAAGCTCAACACTTGTACTCTAAAATTATTCCATACTTTGAATTAAAGTATATATTTAAATCGTGAAATAAAATTTTCAAATTTTATCTAGAAGCATTCCAAGAATGTTCAACCTCGATTTCTTACAATAATCGATGGTCGATTATAAGATATTCGTAGAAATCGGTGCCCAAGCAGACGCAGCTTCTCATTCCCTAAACCACAAATCAACCATCCAAAAAGTCAGCAACAGGTGAAAGCCAGCGCGTGCATTGACGGATACACGGAAAATAGGATGGAATATTCGCGTTTCGCTGTACGCGAATGGAGTTTCAAGCTCGATGCTCGTCGTAAAGATGCGAAGCAAACGTCAAGCCGGTCGATTAATCGACTCAGAAGCAGGCCAGTACCTGCGGAATCGACGTTGCTGGGTGGTCCAGTGGCACTACTGTATCTTGGGGAGAGACTCGGTAAGCTTGGACTCAGGGAAAGCGGACTGGGCGTCGTGTGATCCCATCTGGATGGCGATGGTGAGCATGGTATGACAAGGCTAGGCGGGGCCATCGTGTTTCCACCGTCAGGATGCCTTTTCCTGGCGTTTCTGATGTCCTCCGCTTCGGAGAACTCGCTCTCCGACGTGGGCTCCCACTTGACGGTCTTCGACGTGCCGAATTTGCTGGCAGGTTTCCCCTGTCGACCTGACGAAGCCGTGTTGGCCCTCTTCGCGAAACCGTTCTCTTTTCTCGTGGTGAACTCGTGAACTATAGGCACCTCGATGTCACTGGCGCGTCTCTGACCTTGGATGGTCCTGTTAGTGCTGGTCACCGTCTTCTTTCCCTCGCCGGGCAACACGATCCCGAACTCGTAGCCGAAGTCGTACTTGAAGTATATCAGTCCGGTGTCTGGATCGATTTGCTTCGTTCCTGTGTTCGTTATGTCTCGGTGAAATTTATTATGGCACTGGTATGTTTCAACGAGGATTTTGTAGTTCAGGCTTATGTTGAACTTCTTATTTTTATGTGTTTACGTTATAATTTATTTTTTCCTGTCAAGTCTGATTTAATTTGATCACCGTTAACTGTCGAGCAGCAATGAGCTATATAGGTTGTCCAGTTAAAAATGAAGATTTAACATCTGATTGTTGACTGTATATTGTGTTGAAGGCTTATCAAAATGGATTAATAAAATGGAGGTATTTTGTGCACACCTGATAAGAACCTGAAATGTCTAATAACTCTATGTGGATAGGTAGGCCAGGCTTAGAAGGGCCTGGATTCCAAATTTAGAGAGATCTTTAATTTATAGAAAATAAATAGTTATAGAATATTCACGTTTTATAATAAGTTGATTATTTGGGAATATTGGAAGTTTTGGTACTTTCTGTTTTATGTTCTCGATGTCTAAACAGGTACGGATATTTGTAGAATGTTTGTGACGAACAAAAGTAAAACCTAAGCGTCAATTGTGGTATTAGAAAAAGTAGAAAACATTTGATGAAAGAAGAGATTGTACAATTAAATAGTGGGTCGATGAAACGTCATAACTCTGAATGAAAATTGACGTCCATATTAGTGAAATTTTGTATAGCGTAAGCTGAAATGTTGAAATGTTGAATAAGATATGACAAATGATTTTCTAGATTAGTAAGATGATTGTGCTCTATGATACTGTTGTTAAATAAAGAACTACATCGTTACCGAAATTCTAAGTTATTATTTTGATTATATCTGTGGCCTATCGACAACTCTGGATGACCATAAATGATTAGTATATATTTCTTTTTTGACGTATTCCTTTAACTTCATCGTTGCCTGTATTATTTTCCTTATCAGTATACTGTTGGCACCCAAGAAGCATGAACCCACTGTCGATCATAGATCACGATACAGGGCCTATATTAACACATTCACGACCGGCAAATATTTTACGTCTCTAATATCGAGTACTGACTAAAATATTTAATAAAATTCTAATGCTGGTCATCGTAAATCAGTATCGTTAGGGCGAAGATGTAAATTACAATATACGTTTTAAAATATCTATGCTGTGAATATTTAGTGTATAAAATAAAAAGAATTTCAAAATTTCTTCATAACCAGGAATAGAATTTGAATGTGTTAATCTTTACTTTGGAAAATGGAGTCCTCGCTAATAAACAATCCTCTTCATAAATCAAAGATAACAATAATGTCTCGATGAATACACTACAAGTTCATTCTTCCCAAGTGCCAACTGTATAAACATTGTCACCTAGCGAAAAGTGTTTAATAATAACAACATCACGAAGTACCAATTCTCCAGTGACATTGGCTGACAATGAGTGATTGCTAACGCAAACAACTATAATCAAATTAAGTACGCTGGTTTGTGTCTAACAAATCAATTCGCTAAGTCGATTACCGTGTTCCGAGAGTCGAGATTCCTCTCTGTATGTTCGTGGCTCGTCGCCGTCGCTGGCTCGATTGTCAGTTGGATGCTTCAGGATCGGCTTGCCCTGCTTCAGATCCGACTGGATGTCGTTGACGAATCTCTCGGTTTTCGACTTGAAGCTGCTGGTCATGTCGGTCATGTGACGCGACGCGACGTCTGCGGATGTTTCAGAGTTTCGTGTTACGGGAGAAGAGCTTGCCAGCGATTTTTTTGAGCAGGCGAGGGAAGTATGTGTCCATGTATGAGAGAAAGGGGGAGAAATTAGAATGAAAAGTCGATGGCGCGCAGCGATACTTGAAATGAAATGTAACGACGAGTTCAGAAGATAAGCAAAGATACCTATGTAAGTACATATACGTACACGTCCCTTCGAGAGGGAGTTGTTTGCTTGCTAAAGATTCACGTCGACAGACAGCGAATTCTTCCTGGCATTATTTTTACGGTAATCATTGAATAGCAGCCTGTTACCGAAGCCTTATAACAATTTGAGTCGAACAGTTTTTTTACAAGCTATTTATGTGATTTACAAATTATTGATTACGAATTACGAATTACATCCAGTGGTTGAAAATGGTTATTATATCGAACCTGTTTCTCGAAACAGTTATGAGAACTGAAAAGATACTATAACAGTTATATATAGATTAGAAGGGTTCTATGTTGGTTATAATTAGGATTCTGGATAACTACTAGAATCGTTAATTGAACTATTTTTCAATGATTCTACTAACGTATCTGTTGTATAGAATTTTTTGATTGATTGGGTGTCAATATTAAATCAACAATGCATTGATTATTAGTTCAAATATTAGTAAAGTCATCTTGTTTAATATCATTATTATTTACACGGATATGTAATATATTATTTATAACGTTAGAACTTCCTTATTGTCTCTTAATTAATTTATTAAATAATGTCTCTTAATTTATTTTAAAATAAATTTTAAATTTCATTTCTCTTCTTACAGACTCATTTGTGCAAGAAATAGACACCAAATAAAGTTTTGTTTAGGTCAAACAAACAAGGCACAGATATAAATTAACTTTCGATGTTGTAAATAATATACTACTTATAAATACGTTTAAATAATAATAAAATTGCTTAAAATAACAATTGTACCTCCAAAAATTCTATGTAATAAATGTATTTTTAGAAAAGTATAGAAACGATATAATAATGTTTCTGTACAACCATAATCGTAACCGATATAATCTACAACCTTCTTAATCCATGAATGTTATAACATTTTTTCAGTCCTTAACCACTTAAGCTACGATTTAAGCATTCCGACAGTCTGGGGCCAAAATGTGATGTTTACATTTGACCCGAACAATATACCAGGGGCCAGACTCATGATAATCAGTTTTCGGCCGAATATTCGTCCACGAGTCTCACACGTGGTTGTAGCTTAAGAGGTTAAAACCGTTTCAGTCACCATTTGTATACAGGATGAGTCTTATAACGTGACGACCTCAAATAAATCGTAAGGTATTTGTTGTACGACAAAATGTTTCAAACAAAAGTTGCATTGTATCTAGGGGGACATACAATGATGTAATCTGTTTTTTATTACCTTACTTTTTTATTGAAATAGTAGTGTCACCTTCAGTTTTAAATGGAATGTCTAATATTTTTTTTCGAATTCGGATAAATCATCAAATTTTGCGTAAAAAGGTATTACATGAAGTGGGACTTCAAATGAAAAATTACTGAGATGTTTATAAAAGGAGTTTATGGGCAATAGCTGCTAAGGTTAAAGTACGACATCCTTCATTATTCACTACTTTGTGATATCTGTTTAACCGACTTCAAAAAAGAGCAGGTTACTCAATTCAAATGTATGAGTCGTTTTTTTGTCGTTTACGTGTCTGTACATTAAAATTGCCATGTTCTTTGAGTCTTCGACTAAGCCTTAAAAAGGTAGAATGCGATGACTGATTGCGATCAGGATTCTTAGCTTGGTACAAGATCTTAGCTCTTATAGCATTTTCTTCGCACGCACCATAAACAATTATCATAACGTTGTTTCATTGTTACTGAACATCGTAATAAAAATGTAGCACCTTTAACTCAATACGACTTTAACGCTTACCGAGATACTAAATAGGCATTTCGTGTTGATGATTATTAATATTCAACAGGGAACTTGTTTACAGATATGACCTACCGACATGAATAAAGTCGTGCTAAGAATTACGTTGACTAAGCGTATTTCGTAATACAAGATTATTAATTCAAAGATATCTCAGTAATTATTCATTTTAAGTCCCACTTCATGTAATACTTTTTTACACAAAATTTGATGATTTATCCGAATTCTAAAAAAAATATTAGACAATCCATTTAAAACTGAAGGTGACACTACTATTTCAATAAAAAAGTAAGGTAATAAAAAACAGATTACATCACTGTATGTCCCTCTAGATACCATGCAACTTTTGTTTGAAACATTTTGTCGTACAACAAATACCTTACGATTTATTTGAGGTCGTCACGTTATAAGACTCACCCTGTATAACAGTTTGAAACAGTTACTTTAGAAACCTTTTCAACCTCTGATTACATCCCTCCCAGACGCTAATCACATCAAAAGATATCGGAGATCCGTATCGAATCTCATCAACCTCCCACCGATTTGAAGTTACAAAAGCACCCAGCGCCAACAAGTAAGCGTACGTAAACAGACATTGTCGTGATTCTTACTATTGGCAGCTTTCCTCACGTCGGTCCTGGAAACGTATCCGAACTCAGGCGGCGAGCCAGGCTTCAGCGTTTCGTCCCTCTTGGACGTGAAATCCCTCTGCACTTTCGCCCGAGTATCGATCTTTCTCGTTCTACTTTCATCCCTCAGCTGCGTCATTGAGGTCTGTTTCCTCAGCGCTGGAGGCCCAGTGTCGAACTCCATCGGCGACACCACGTGTTCTTGTCTGACAGGCGCGCTGGAGGACCTGGGCGACTTGGCAGAGGGTGGCTGAACCTTTCTGTACCTAGGCTCCTCCTTGTCGCTGTCGGAAGGAGTCCACTTCGGTCTGATCCTGGTGTCGATGTCGCTCTCGTAGTCAGACTCCCTGAACTGACCCTGCACGAACTTCTTCGGCATGGGGACCTTGAAGTGATCCTGAAGCTTCGGCTTCTGGGTGTCGAAGCTGGCGAAGTCAGCAGGTGTTTTCTGACCGTCTCCGAACTTGATCACCCGACTGGTCTGCTCCACCGTGACCACTCTTCGGCTGTTCTCCGTGGATTCGTCCATCCTGACCGTCTTCTTGGTCTCCGTGCCGATGGCGTTATGTAAAGGTGGGCCTGCGCGAGCCTCGTAATAGGTCGGCCTGGGCTGCGGTGGTGCGTACGCCATTTCAGGCGGCGAACCAGGTAGAAGAACCGTTTTGGGTTTCGTCGGGGTGGTGATCGTCTTTTCCACCTTCTTCTCGAGCTCCTTCGTTTTCTGGCCGTGTGTCGAGATCTCTTCGATCAGCGGCGCCGGCGGCTCCTTCGGCTTTCCTAGGTAGAAAATTGTTCCCGGGTGACCTCGATCATCAACAGACGGGGCCAGTGAGACGAAGAAAGCGGGCAGAGGGTGCGTCAGCACCTTAGGCGACCGGTTTCACGCGACGTTGACGAGATCGTTTCGAATCCAGCTTTCGGACGAAGATCGCGTATCTTTGATTTTTTCGTGTGTATTCGGAGACCGTTTGGAAAACGACGTGCTTTCGGAACGAAGGTGAAACCAGCGTGAGACGAGCGGAGAAGAGAAGACAAGCGATGAAGACGAAGAAGAAGAAACGGAGAAAAGGTTGTTAGCCACGAGCCAAAGGGGGGAAGTAGAACCGGTGAAAACAGCGGGGGAATACTCAAGTACGTACTTCGAGTGGCCGAGAAGAAAAGAGAGAAGCAAGCGAAGCAGGAAGAGAGGAGAACTTGTCTTGCGAGGTAAACAACGAGAAGGGAAGAAAGCTTGCCAGGAGGACTACTTGTTGTAAGCTGGAAAAAAGTTGTCATAGAGTGAGAGACCACATCGATAATCGGCTGGTCGATTATGGTATACCGACGCCCATTGGAAAGCATTTCTTCATTTAGTTTGCTCCAGGCCAGGCATGTTCAACTTGATGCTCTTGCGGGAAGCTTCAACGGGCTGGAGCAGATGGTTTTGAAATGGGTTGTTAAACTAGACATGAGCATTTTCCAAATGATATTATTTTAAATATTATGACATTAATTTATTTCATAATTATCTGAATTATCTGTGAAGCTGTTCTTTCAAATGATATGAAGTAAAGTCACAGGTACATAAAACAAATCTTCAATTCCGTCAAATACCCAAATTCTTGTTGTTGCATATTCTTTTGAAGACTGTTTCTTTTGATCGATTTAAAACTTTCAAAAATAACGAAATGATTCTAGAAGAATTTATCTTAAGGAATCTTCACATCAATTTACCTTGATAAAATAGCTATTACCTAGCAAATAGCCATTATTTTCAGATAAACTGATATTATTTTTATATTCAAATAACTGTATTGAAAGTAGGGTTCCAAAATATAATATTTCAAATAGTTATTTCTTATTTTCGTTTTGATTAATATGTGCTCCGATCTATGCTAAAGTACAAGGTAAATTTGTCACGATAGATATCGTATACCCTTCCTCTGATTTCGACAGGTGGAATTCTTATCACATCAACTGTTACGTACGCGCACTCCTCGCGAACGTTACCGAAGTGGTACACGTACTACCGATCTCAATGATCTTGATAAAAAAAAAATAAAGATACACCGATAAAAACTTAACTATTCGTATTATTGAAAATAAAGGTGTCTACTATGACGGTAGATTTGTATCTGATCTTGCCTTGAAAAATGCCACCCTCGAGGACTCAAATGTGATGGGAAAAATGGTCGGGTGGAAATGGAAATTTGTTTGTGATTGGTTGAAATATTCGGTTACAGGAGGAAAAGTCGGCTGAGGAGGAAAACGGTAACTCTATTGTTCGTAAAAGGCTAGCGGAAAACGGTAAAAATGACCGCGCTACATCTGCTCGCCAAATGTAGTAAAACCTAAGCGCTTACAATTTGGAAACGCGCATTTATGATGGGGCCGACTAGAATTACCCTTAACTATCGACGGTGGAGAATATAATTTTACGCTTAAATAAAACTTACAACCTAACATCAACAGAACCTCTAAGGATACCTCTGACTGCATCACTGCTTTTGCATTTTTTCAATGGCTGAACGTGAAAACGAAAGAGACAGCGGTGGAAGCAACAGTGTACATGGAGACTCAGTAGATTTGACAAAGAGAATAACAGAATGGGGTGTTCTCCACTTCTTCCCCACTTTTGGAGTCAATTCCAAACCATAATTTGCTGTGACGTCATATGGTCTCGATGTTTGTTCCTGACCACCTGCCCTTGCCCGTTCGTAGAAAATTTGAACATGCCTGCGCTAGGTTCCACGCGTCATGTCGGATTGCCTTCCACCATGATCTTTACAATTTTAAGGTTCATAAATACCTGGACCAGCGAGATGGGGTTTCACGGGTCTGAAAGACTGATCGTCGCTTTCGTAACCTCGCGGTTTCCAAAGGGGCGGTATTCTGCCGTCGTAGTCGCTCTCGTAGTCGCTTTCGCGAAATTCGGACTTCACGAATCTGGAAGGACTCGGAGAGGGCGGCAGGATCTTCTTCGCTGTCTCGAATTTCTTTTGCGATTGATCCGTGGTGTAAACAGTTTCCTAAAAGAAAAACTGAGAGTCAGCAAATTTACAAATTCGCTGATCAGTGAAGTGATACAATAGCACAAAAATAAATATGAAGACAAACAAACAAACATAAACGTATAATTCACCCTCAATTGGTAGAAAGGTAGGAATATTAATTTATATTTAGCTGTTATATGAGTATCAAAAAAACTAAATTACCTAAAAACGAGTTGAATTAATATAAGAATGATAATTGAATAATATACGACATGATTTTAATGTAGAAATCAATGATAGAAATGGATTATACTTTCTACAAGCTTTTAATGTAGTAAGAGGATAGTCTTTTAATTTCAATATATAATTACCACATAAGTAGTTAATTTGTATTTAACGCAAGAACAAATTTTCACTAATTTATACGAATTAACTTTATAGATGAACCTTATATATGAATTAACCTTATATATGAACTAACCTTATAGAGACCCAATAGATAAATTCAAGAAGTTTGATTAAACTCCTATAATCTTTAGTAATTTACTCATAATCCTCACAAGTGACCCAACACACTACCAATCGAGGTTTAAATAACACTTAATAACATCTGTTATAACAAGACATGCCAAAACCAAACACTCTGTGAATCAAGTCCTGTTACAAACAAAACAAAAAAACTGTCAAGAAATAATATAAATACACTGATATTCAAAATCAGCGACAACATTGTTACTCTATCCTACAAAAATAAAACAAAACAATTCGTATCAGGTGTCCATGCGTGAAACGTACAAAAACCACACACTAGGACAACCCAATGATATCCAAAATCTTCGTTTCTCGGATTAGTCTGTCAAGGAAAGCGATGCAAAGTCACACGCGCTCTCGAACCTTCGCAGACATGAATCTCGATGGGCAGGTGCCCGTGGAAGAAGAATAACTCTTCTCCACAACGGTGCTTCGTTGCTGAGGCGGTTGCTTCGCGACTGGCGTCACAGACGGAGAAAAGGATTCCATTTTCTGCTGCTGCTGCTGCTGCTGACGGCTCTCGTAGCTCTTGCTCTCGAAGAACTCCGATCGACTCTCCGAGTAAGAAGAACGCGACTCCATGTGAGACGTTGACGAAGAGGACTCGTGTTTACCAAAACTCTTCTGCATGGACGACATCGAACTTTTCTGTTGGAAAGGCTCGTCGGTATCTGCCATATAACCGCTCTCCTGCTGGAACATCTTCACCTTGAATTTCGGAGACTCTGGTTTCTTGGCTGGTGGACTCTTCGGCGTTGGACTCTTCGCGGTTGGTTGAACGTAAATCGGAGGAGATCCAGGTTTCAACTCTATTGGAGCTGGCTGAATGACTGGGTACTTCTGCTGCTGTTTCACTTCCTTCTCCTGCCTCTTCACGGTAGTGACCTTCTTACAAATTTTCTCCTGCTGTTCTCTCGCGATCAGTGGCCTGGATAGCCCTCCAGATTCCGGAGGGACCTCGAATTTAGAAGGAGGAAGAGGTTCAGGCTCCGTAGACCTTGGTCTGGTGGGTTGTTTAGGCACAGGAGGTTGGACCCTTCGATAACGGGGTTCTTCGTTGTCGCTCTCGTAGGGCCTCCATTTTGATTTCAAGTGACTGTCCATGTCTGACTCGTAGTCGCTTTCCATGGCGAATGATCCTTTAACAAATTTAGTAGGTGTCGGCGGAGGAGGTACCTTTGGTGTTTTTGTAACAGCTGGCGCTGGAGAAGGCTTGAATGGGAAAGGTTCCAAGGGTTCTATAGGAGCTGAAGTCTTTGCTGGTAGAGGTGGAGGAGTCATTCGAACATCCTTCGGTGGTAGCGCCGGAGGTTCCTCCCTTTTAGGCGATGCAGGTATAGTTCTGATGCCACCTGGAGGAATTTTAGTTGGCTGATGCTGCTCCAGAGACACCTCCATCTGCTTTTCCACCATGTCGACCTTCTTCTCCCTGACAACTGGCCCTGGGATGTAACCAATTTCCGGCGGTGGGCCTGGTTCCAGTATGATCTGATCAACCATCAGCGCCGGTTCGGCCAAGTGATACAATTGAACAACAGGTTTCTTCGGCGACTCGACGCTTCTGACTAGACCGGGAGCCTTCAAATCCTCCGTGCCAGTCCAACGACTCTTCGAGTTGAACTGCTCGATCTTCTCCGACACTTCCGACTTCTTCACGTCGCACTCGCTGCTGTACTTCTCGTATAACGATTTCTCCTCGATCTTGTTCACGGTGTGATCCACCTTGATGGTCTCAGCATTGTAGATGATCGGTTGAGTCCTCGGTGGCGACGGAGCTCTCTTCATGAATCTTTCCGTCGCTTCCTGTTTCGTGCTCCAGGAACGTCTTTCCATTGTGCTCGACGACTCGCTGCTGGTCTTCTTCATCCCACCCTCGGGCAACTCCTCCACTTCGCGTTTGAACTCTTTGGAAGATGTTTTGTATTCCTCGGCAGGTGTTTGCCACTCGTGTTTGAATTTCGTAACAGGCTCTTCCTGCGGAGGCCACGATTTCCTGGTGGAATCGGCGCATTTTTTCGCCCAGGATTTTTCCATCGCCAGGCCGTCTGCTGATGGTCTTGGTGAAGTGGATCTCAAGGTTTCCTGATGACTGGAGGCGGCGGAATGACACCTGTACTCCGAGAGATCGGTGGATATGTGAGACCTCGTCTCGACGTCTGAAGACGAAGACCACGGTCTACTGGGAGAAATTGGTCTCAACGATGGCAAGTCTTTGTCCTTCTTCTCGTGGATGTCTCTCTTAACGCACACCTCTTCGATTATCTCTTTCTTTTCGAGTTGGAAGGGAGGTGGTGGCATTGAAAACGACGGCGTCAATTTTGGTGCTTCGGTGAATTTCGGGGGTTCTATAACACGAGGAGAGGGTGAGGGGAAAATCTTTACACCGCCAATTGGCGCATCGATGGGGGACAGGGTCTTCTCGAAGGATTCCTGGAGTTGTTTTGCCTTGATGGACACGTCAGGGCGTTTTTTTTTTATTTCTTCCGGCTTGGGCATGTAACCAATCTCTGGGGGTGGTTCGGGTAACAGGTTGAAACCGCCCATGAGTACCTCTGAGCTTTCCGATCGAGACTCCATCTTGGTGGACATCATCATGGACTCCTGACGCGAAGACGAGCCTGAAGTGATCGTTTCCTCCACGACTGTCTTCTTCGTCTCCACTGGAGACGGTTTGTAGGACTCGTAAGGGAAGTCGAATAGCTTATTATCGACGCCTCGAGATGGACCGGTTCCTTGCTCCAGCTTCGTGAAAATCTCGTGAACGGCCTTCTTCGTGGTTTGGGCTTCCATGGGCCTGGGTTCAGGTTTCTTGACTTCCTGAAACGTGGTCGATCGCTCGTAATTCTTCGTCAGCTTTCCAACCTTCACTTCGTGACCGTCTGTATCGTCAACCAATTTAATCATCTCTTTGGGCCGTTTAGGCGAGGTCTCCGTCTCTTTCGTCATAGACTCGAAGAAGCTTAGAGCGTCTTTCTTAGCTATCGTCGATGTCTCTACGTTCTCGTTCTCGATGGTGGTTTTCTCTTCGAAAACTGTGGCCTCTGGCTCAAGGATTTTCTTTTCTTCGCGAATCACCTCCTTCATCATGGTCTTTACTTCCTTCTTCGGCTCTATCACTGGTGGTGTCTTGTGTTCTAGCTTCATGTGGAACTTTTGCTCGGATTTAGTCTCCATCTGATGAGACTCGACGGTTGATGAAATGGTTTCCGATCGAGACATCTGCATTTCCGGTTCTCCGATCTTCTCCACCGTGCGGCTAATTTGAGACATCGATGAGGATGTGACGCTCGGAGGTGGTTTTATTATAGTGCTCGGTTGGATCGTTTTCGTGGATAACAGTTCGCTTGTCTGTTTCATGGAAGAGTCTTCCCCCTTCTCTTTCTCGGACTGAGTGAATACGAATAGAGAGATTTATAATCGGTGCTTAACGATTACTGTTAGGTTATAAACCGCACTTACTGTAGATTTTATTCTTTTATTGTCTGCCGATCTTTTTAGTAGTTCGAAGTTAAAGACTGTTGAATAGACTACGGATGTTTATGCGAATGCGCATTTTTATGTGCACATATTATTTTGTAGATTGCATATGTTTTGCACATTTTAGTGAGAAGGCATTACACATAAATATGCACTTATTAGACCTTCATGTAAAATGTTCTTCTTTGAGATAGAAATTAGTATTAACTGATATACGATGTTACAAATATGAGAACATTGTTAGTAATTTATTGTTACGCAAATTACGGTGTTTGGGGTTAAATAAATTTGACAAATTTATTGTAATAAATTTGCTAAACAAAAAATGATGTATGTGCCAAATTAATGTTGAATATTTTACTCCCAAATTGCACACATTTTTCGTCTATATTCGCATAGTTTTCATGCATATTTGCATATTTTCGTGCATGAACACCCGCAATCTCCTGATGAATCTCTTTTTTAATTCTTCTTAAAGATCGATCAATTTTTTATTGGGAGACTAGACTAATTATAAATAACAGATTTAATCTCCTTACTGTGTAAAACGATGTAAACGTTTTACCAAGATTCTGAATCCTAGTAATATAGGAAGAGATTTCTACGTAAAGGAAATGGTTACCTGAAGGATTTTCTTGTCCTGCGTGTTCTCGTAGATGACAGTTTTGTGAACCTCGACCATGGTGTCTGGCGTTGGCTCGAAAACAGCAAAGTCGGCTATGCTTTGCGCCTCTCCACCAGCGTTCGTTGCCCGAACCATGTACTTTCCAGCATGTTCCTTGTTAGCTGAACGAGATATTTTACAATTATTAATTGGATCATACATAGTATACACCTAACAATTTTTTTACAGATGGCTAATACAGAGTCCAAGTCTACTCAGGACGACTATACAATTTTTATGCAAATTTTTAGGATCATTTGGTGTCTTTTCTGAGACAAATTTCTCACGATTGCTATAATGAAAACGATTGTTAGGCAAAACTTGCAAAGACAGGAACTGTTATTTTGGAAGACACTTGTTTATGAAAGCTGGTTGCATTATCAGTTGTACAAATTAATGAAAGATCTTTAGAAGTACCTTTGTCAATGATCAGCATGTAACAGTTTCCTTGCTGCTTAATTCTCAGTTCAGGTGGACGGTCTTTGATCGGGATGTCGTCCTTGAACCAAGTAACGGTCGGTTCCGGGGTTCCTGTGATTTCCACTTCCATGTTAACGCGGTCTCCGCGTTTCACGACTTGAGCCTGGAGCCTTCTACCGAACACCGGTGGGAATATTGTTTCTGCAATTTATTAGAAAATATTATCCATGTTTATTATACTTAGAACATACTTTGTTCTATAATATCCAATGAAATAGTTGGCAAAGGAAGGTGATTCTGCTGGCCCTAATAAGTCTATTTTAACGATCTCCGTTTCAAACCTAGTTTTGGATCCTCGTCAGGGTACTACGAAATTCGAATTCAACACAAACCTGATTTATATGGTTGTTAAGTAGAATTTTATGATTCCATCTTATCTTATAAGATGTGTTTAAACACATGATTAACCTAGAATATTTTATAATCACATACAGGGTGTCTCATTATAATCTTTCCACGCGATTATCTCGCAAAATATTCATCATTCGAAATAAATGTTTAAACAAAACATGCTCTAACTGAAGGGGGACATTCAATGGTGTACGCTGTTTTTTTCTAGGTGGACGCGCATCCGAGATTTGAAGGTCACCTTTGTTTTTTTAAATAGAAATGTAGTTTTTTTCAGGCTAGGCACATAGCTTATCTCAAGACGAATTCATTGACCTATATTATGTTGACCTTGACATGTCATTCAAGGTCATTTCCATGGCTTAAAGTTTTCTTCTTCACTGCACGTCTAGAAAATGTTTCTTATCTTCTAAATTCAAAAGTACAACCTTAAACATTTATGCAGCACCTGATTCTATCTCTAAATGACAAGTCAACTTGTTCTAAAGTTCCGCTAGCAATTTGTCTGCAAACATTTATTATTCGAGCCTTCATATTTACGGCTGTTTTTGGCTGTTGCATGTAAACTTTATCTTTTATGTAACCCCACAAGTAAAAATCCAAAAGTGTTAAATCTGACGACCTTGGTGGGAAAGGTATCGGACTTCCTCTACCTATCCACCGTCTAGGAAATATTTCATTTAAAGTTTGTCGAACGCGGCGATCGTAATGAGCTGGAGCACCGTCATGCCGGAACCACATCCGTACTCTGGTGACCAGTGGAATGTCTTCTAAAAGGATTTGCAACTCATTACGAAGAAAATTATTGTATCGTTCTCCAGAAAATATGAAGGCTCGAATAATAAGTGTTTGCAGACAAATTGCTAGCGAAACTTTAGAACAAGTTGGCCTATCCTTTAGGGATAGAATCAGGTGGTGCATAAATGTTCAAGGTTGTACTTTTGAATTTAGAAAATAAGAAATATTTTCTGGACCCGCAGTGAAGAAGAAAACTTTAAGCCATGGAAATGACCTTGAATGACATTTCAAGGTCAACATAATATAGGTCAATGAATTTGTCTTAAGATAAGCTATGTGTCTAGCGGGGAAAAAAACAGTGTACACCATTGAATGTCCCTCTTCAGATAGAGCATGTTTCGTTTGAACATTTTTTTCGAATGATGAATACTTTGCGAGATAATCGCGTGGAAAGACATGAGTAGGACTATAAGAGTTTTAATTAAAATTTTTATAACACGCTGAGGAGTACCTAAAGTGAGGATCCAAATGTTGCTTTATTGGAAAGCAGTTTTACGTTATTTGACTCTGAAAAATGATCTCAACTTGTTGAATTCAAGAGTTTGAGGCTTAAAACAAATCAATGAAACTTTGCCTTACTTTTGACAACAAGATCAGCTGTGCTACTGGCGGATCCAACTTCGTTGCTCGCTGTGCATGTGTACCTTCCTGCGTCCTTGACATTGACTTTCTTCAGTTCCAGGCGGACGTGATTGTGCGCGTAACTTATACTCATGCCATCTTTTGTCTTTAACTCTTGTCCATTTTTCGACCAGGTAATCGAAGGCTGAGGAAAACCTGCGAAGGATTCATAAAATGTTTGCTAGAAGAAATTATTAGCTTCTTCTTTAAATAATTTTAGCCCGACGTAGTTCAGCTAGTTTTTAATTCAATACCGAAGGTATATAAAACGTTTATTAAAATAAAAAGTGATAATAAAATTAAATAATTTACACTTCTATAAAAAATGATGTTAGCAACTGGAATCCGAGGGTAGCCTATGATGAGGGTAGTTTACAAAAACCTTTTGTTACATTAAATAATCGAAATGATAAACTATTTATCCTCCACATCCTGACCCAACGCAACGTGGAGTCATTAAACTCCACAATGAAATATTATTCTGGCAAGAGTGCAATTTGTCATGCAAATGCACATAGTTGAGAATAATAGTTGTAACATACAATTGGAGGGGAAAAATATTCTTGCCAAAACACAAATGTCAAGCACCTTTTTGAAACATTTCACTGTACTATATTTAGATGGACCATTAACTAATCATTCAATAAAGATTTTCTTACAAGTATGTTTTAAACAATCAGGAAAATGTGAATGATTTTCTTATTTTCTTTTTTTTTTAAACAATTGAAGAGACATAATATTACGAGTGCTATTGCAAATGAATGAATGTCAATGAATGAATAATATAGATAGAGGTGCTACCTTACCGTCAATGATTCCTTCAAGGACGATGTCGCTATCCTGATCTACGATCATCCCTGTGATCGGTGAGACGAATCTTGGTGCCGTCGATTTCCTGGTTGGTTTTGGTATCTGCGCAGCCTTGATGTCTCGTTTGATTCCTTCTTCATCTTGAGATACAACAACTGTCTTCTCTTGTCGAATTTCACCTGGCTGGTCCTGTATGATCTTCTCATGTTCTTCCACTTTGTACGACTATAAGAATAGGATAAAATACAATACAAATATCCTCTCTAGCTGAATTTATGTCTATCCTATTCGTTAAAGTATATATTCAATTTACAATTTATCTCTTTAATATTAAATGATCATTTTGAGTAAACTTTCTTATTTTAAGAGCAATATTTTCAAATGATCGTTAATTATAAATTAGATTCTTTATAATTCTACATGAATTTCGTGAAATAATTTAATTGATTACTCGTGTTTTTATTCATTTTCTTATAAATTGTTTATATATTTCTTCTTACTTGCATAATAAAATTTCATACGAACTCGAAAGTTAGACAAAAGGAAGAAAACTGTAACTGTAACTTGTTGCGCAACTTAACCAGCCCATACAATAATATTATAAAAAAAATTTAATTCACATCTCGTACATAAATACATAAATTACATATCTTCGAAACTCTGACCTCCAGAAAATATTCTTTCATCTTATTTGACTTAATAATAAAAAAATAATATAAAAACACCTACCCTGTACCATAATTTGCATAATTACTTTAGCACAAAATAAAATTCCTGTGTTATTCTACAACCCTCACGAAACAGTACGTTCCAATCTTCAGATATATTACCAGATTTTACCTAATCCTAAACTAGTACTCCTTTTTTAAATTTCATTAAGATCAATTACCAAGTAGATAGTTGAGAACCAATATCAATTAACAATATCAGTATACTTGACATACTTCTTCAACCTCAGAAACTCAGGTGAAGCCACAGTATCACAAACTTTTGAATTTATATGTTCCACATACAACCAACTCTATTTTAAATATAAATACATAATTTTACCTTCGACCTTTCGAAATTTGGCCTACAGAAATTCTTAATTTTTTTTTTATTAGCCTTCTAGTACAAACGAAATATACAGGGTGTCTACGTATAAGTTTGGACATACGCAGGGTGTCAATTCTACAACAAATTTCCAACAGAAAATTACTCTTAGACATTTTCTTTGTGTCGCCTTATTCTCGAGTATTTTCACTTTTAATATTTTTTCTGCGTTTTCGACTTGACACTCTTTAAACAGCCATAACTCCACCAAAGTGCAGTGCAAACTTAAAACTAAGTATACCATTCGAAAGAGCGTTAAATTTACCACTCCCCTGATGTTAAACTAAAATTTATCACGTAGATTTAAGAAGTGAAAAATTAGGTCAAACTTTACATTGTGAAAATTTAATAAAATTTGACTTTTTCTGTATATATTTGTCGGTTTCAAAGACATAGTTGTTTGGCCGGCACTCTTCAGGAAAAACTTCCTCGTAGTCTCAGCTTTTGAAGGGTATTGTCAAAAAAAATTGTGCGGAGGTATTTTAGGGAGAAAATTACGTTTAAATGCAGAGAAGCGTTAAAAATGCACGCATCCTAAATCAAAACTTATCGGTTTTCCTGCGCCGAAAACGTTGATTTCTTGCTGTGTGAATCGATCGTTTTCCAATCTTCGTATCATTTATCAGTACACCGATGTTGAATTTGATTAAATAGTCTCTAAAAACGAAAATTCTATGGATACATGTTCAAAACCAATTATTATTCACCTCGCAATCAGGCTCTACACACGGCTGGGAGAGGCTTGAGGTGTCAAAAAATCAGTTTTTTTCCTAATTGGGAAGGCTCGGGAGTGTCACTAAAAAATACATCAAACCCGATGTTAAGTTAATTTTAAAGTGACAAGTCGATTTTTGTTGAAAAAATATAAATTTTCACCTAAAAACCCAAGCGTTTTCTGCATTTAAACGTAATTTTCTCCCTAAAATATCACCACACAATTTTTTTTGACAATACCGTTCAAAAGCTGAGACTTCGAGGAAGTTTCTCCCGAAGAATGCCCGCCAAACAACTGTGTTTTTGAAACCGAAAAACGAATACAGAAAAATACCAATTTATTGAAATTTTCACAATGTAAAGTTTGACCCAATTTTTCACTTGTTAAATCTACGTGATAAATTTTGGTTTGGCATCAGGAACATGGGAAGTTTAACGCTATCTTGAATGGTATTCTTACTTTTAAGTTTGTACTGTATTTTGGTGAAGTTATGACCGTTTAAAGAGTGTCATGTTGCAAACGCATAAAAAATATTAAAAGTGAGAATACTTGAGAATAAGGCGACACAAAGAAAATGTCTAAGAACAATTTTTTATTGGAAATTTGTTGTTGAATTGACACCCTGCGTATGTCCGAACTTATACGTAGATACCCTGTGTAGATCTCTTCACTGAATTATCATTCGAATAACCAATCACTCAATCATTTTGGCACAAAATTCCTGTATGATTTGATGAACTACACCCTAACACGGTACCTGCACAACAGGAGGTGCCCCGTTCTCCGATGACGCTTGCTCAGTGCTGTGCACAGTGGTCTTCACGCAAACGCTGGTCGGTTCCTGTCCAGATTTCGTCGTGCTAGAGGACATCATCGACGAGACGAACTCCTTCTTCGTGGTGGTGTGCGTGGTGGAGGACTCTGTGATGATCTGCGACATCTTGGTCAGCACTTCGTTCTCAGCCCCTGTCGCGGACGTCTTCTCCGCGGAGAAGTGCTTGTCGCTGCTGCTCGACGCGTGCATTTCGTCGCTGGGCAATCTCTCGACTAGCTCGAACACCCTCTCAGCCTCTGCAACCGCTGCAGCCTTATTTTCCTTCTCCCTTGGCCAGCCACCTAATGACAATGATTAATAGAGTTATCAATAGATCGATGACTTGCCTTCTGGCCCGCAGCCTTCGAATTTTTATTCGTCATTGCTATGCGACCAGTAAACCCCTAACGTAAGAGGACACAGAGTACACAACACACGAGTTGATCAAGTTTAATCTTAGTAATTTCATTTTAGTAATGCGTTATTTTTTAATTAATTTAGTTAAGGTCACAATAACTACGAAGTTATTAGTGACCACTTGACTAATTTGAGGTATTCGTTTCTCTTGTTAAGGATTGTTTGCATACTATTTGAAAGTTTAAACTCTATTCGATCGTGTTGTATTGCTTGAAATTCTTCAATTAAATGTTTTACTGTAAAGGGCTCGTCACAAAAGTTCCGTAATGGCGGCTGTGATTTAGTTATTTTGTAGCAATGAGTCAGACTTGTGTGGGCAATTCTCAATCTTGATAGTGTCACTTGTCGTCTTCTATTTGGTAGAACTGGAGTTTTGTTTGATTCGTCTATAGCGTTTTGCGATCGTTCTCCAAATCTAATTAGAAAGAAGGTGGATTTCTTCCTTCATTTAAGAGAAATAGAGTGAAATTCAGCTCGGGACTTTGAAGAGCCTTAGTGTGAGTGGATGGTTAATAAGAGGCCCCGTGGCTTGAGTGCGGATAAGTAAGTCATGACCATGACATCAAACGATTACATTATCGTCTAGGCTACTAATCCATAACATTTTGAAGCTCGTGACACAGTTTAAAGGAAGAGTCTTATGTTATTCTTGTCGGCTTCAAGGCATAGTTTAAAGAGCAAATCTGCCATAGTTCGTAATCTTAAGTAGCTATACTATTAAACATTTGATATTACATCGTTTGTAAGGTAAGAATTTAAAATAATACAAAAGGTGAAGTTGAAAGCCCACTCCCACTTCGATCTTGACGACCTTGATGGCTTTCAGCAACTTCACTGTGAAAAATTTTGGCCCAATACAAGCATTGATTTAAATTTAAATATATTATAAGCGTTACAGTCATATGCTTCCCTGAGCAGTTAAAATGAAGATATTTGCAGAAAGTAAAATTAATCAATTGATCTTCAAAAAAGTTAAAAGATTATTTAAAATTCAACTAACATTTTCCAACTATATTTGATCAAAATATTCTAATAGACAATTTGTTACAGATAACATCATGTATATTTTTATTAAAGACAGCAGGTTTTTAGCAGCTTCATTTACTTCAATTTTATATTTATCCTCTACCATGTTTTACTGAGCAGCTAGAAGGAAATAATTTACAGAAAATGAAGTTGATTAATTTGGTTTTAAAATTGATGTATAATACTATAAACTCAATTAAAATTTGTTAACAGTTATTTCACCAAATATAATTTAAATTGTGTTTCGAAGAAACTTCTAAATAAATTCCAAAGAATGCATTAATTTGAGAACCATTGTTGCATACCAGAGATTGAGTAATATAAATGAAAGTCAAAGAACAATGAACACACGTCGCATGAATGCCCATATTTGTTTATCGTAGACGAATAGTAGGCGTTGTGTTTGAATTTCATTCATCTTTCAATTTGTTGCTTCAAGCTCAGCTTGACTGGGCATTGATAGCGCGTTGAGCAAAGTAAAATTAACGTATCAAACGAAAACTGGATACGTGACGTTTGGACCTCGAGCCAAGACCTGTCAAGTGATTTACCTACTTTAGGACACGAGCATGAAACAATAGAATTATCACAAAAATGTTCTCATCCCCTTAGGGGTTCAGATTTCAGACATCGTTGCAGTCTCAAGTCACTTGCATTAAACGTTCGCAGAGTGTCACTTGAATTCAGAATCGTGAAAGTTTGTTGCTCTATCCACATCGATCTGTTCCCTTGAATCACGGGTTGTATTAATAGTTGGCCCGTTTAGACGATGCCACGGTAGAATCGGATCGGTGAATCCGGAATTGGAATCCGCAATGGCGCAATCGTCTCGCAAAAATTCTGCAAACGTTCAGCTCTTAGCGTGAGATCACGAAGAATCGTGAGAATAATAGAATTCGCCCCTCTATGACCCCCTCTCTTATTGTTGAAAAGAAAATTAAAAAATTAATACTCTAGTGGACGTATGTGCCTCTAAATACTGTGTCCTATCTACCAATTTTATATTTTTCAAAATGTCTCGAAGTGTTTGAGGCACTATTTATTTTTCTCCTCTTGAGCAAGCTTAAAATGCAGTGTATGATTCGAAAAGCTCTAGTAATAATTTAATTTATTTATTCCAAGTGTTGTACAGACGTTAACACTTGATTCGAAAGATTCCACTTGTTAGTATAAATTGAACAAATTATTTTCTGGGATTATGTCTATGATTATTTTTCTGTTCAGTTCAAAAGAGGACAAATGGCTTTGAAATATAAAAATAATTTTTCTACCGAATTTAAAGAATTATGAATTACCAGAAGTTATTTCTAATATTCAATATAAATGAATTTTGATAGAACAAAATAAAAATTTTAAGAAAATGAGGATTATTATATTTTTAATTTGTTTTTCAATATTTAAAATCACGAATTAAATAAATTATAAGTTATATCCTATGTTGAAATACCCTAGCTTATTTTCTTTAAAAAGTTGAAATGTCTCATCCAAAGGATTTAATTAACTGTTACAAAAAAAAACATCATTATGGTTCCACTAAGATATATTTCTGTTTTAATGGATTATTTTTTATCTTGTCTTATCTTACGTTCTCTTTGGGATGAAATTACTATACACGATGTTTACATTTAAATTTATATAAATTTATGGGAATAGATATTTAACTTCCACGACCGTAATCGTGGATATTCCTATTGCAATTCAGATGCAATGTGAAGGAGTCCAGTTTTCAAGCCGATTCATCAGAAATTCTATACTCTCCGCTGATAAAAAGAAAACGCATTCTTTGGCTGGCAACCAAATTCTCTAAGATTCAAGTGGGAATTCGTCTCAACATATCTAGACCGCGAAATTCGTCGCAGGTTGTTTCCAATTCACCAGATGTTGTCTCGCACCAGAGATGGGCAAAAATATATATTCTAATAATAGACGAAAAAATAAAAGCAACGTGTATCAATTTATATAAATATAAATATAAATCGAATTAATACTAGCGATAATATGATCAAGAGCACATTATACCAAATATTGTATTTCGATAGTGGAATTACTTGATCTTACATACAATAACATGTATGTAAATATAATTTGTTTGCTATGTTCAATTTAATTGTTTTACATGTTATTAAATAGTTGATAGAAATGGGTTTCTCTCATGAGTTACATTCATTACTCAATGTATGATTAGCAAGATATAAAGGTAAGAGCCACTTACAATTATCAAAAAAATTATCTTATCAAAATTAAAATATTTTAAAAGTGTGATTAATTTATTTCACGTAAAAGAAGAAAAAGAGGAAGAAACAAAATTATAATATTCACCAGAGAATATTTTGATTTGACATAATTGTTTTAATTGTAAGTTCAATATATTAATACTATTCTGTATTGTGTTTACTACCTGTAAGCTTTATTTTCCTGCTACATAACTCCGTTCAATACTAATATTTTGATAATTATAAATTCCTCTTATTCTTATCATTCGCCAACGACATTTCACTATTACCACACACAATTAATGATTTCATACTAGTCTTTATAAAATACTCAAATATATTTTTCCAAGCAAGAGTTCATTCCAACAACTATTTCTATAACACATTCATTCATCGCCAACTATTTTATCGCTTGACAATTATTTTGTTCGGACGATCCCTGATCCGTATATTTTATACGTTCTTCGATATTTCTATCTAGATGCAGGTTTTGCTTATCTCGGCTTCGTTCGACGAAACCATCGCAGGAAACCCAGTGGGAGCTTTTCTGGAAACCGCGTTACACGATCCATGAACTTCACGGTTCACTCGTGAAGCCGTAAAAGTTAAGTTTGGAGGTGGTATCGCAGAGTCGATGAAATAGCCACGAGAACCCTTCGAGCGGGTAACGAAGTGGTTTGCCTACAATCGACGACAGAAATAGTATCGTTCACCTACCGCGGCGGGAAATCGAGCACTGGGACGCAATTTGTAAGTCGAACGCGATCTAACCGAGTCTTCGAAATAGCGGTCGTGTCTTTGCGGAAATTAACGATGGCGAACTCGTGCCCATTGGCTGACAAACGCTTTGTAACGAGTGACGAACATTAATAGGAGCGTTACGTAGTAGGAAACATTGAAAAATGTCAACTATTTAGCAAACGTCTACATTCCAAATAGTTGCATTGATTATTCGTTATAATAAGGATTTTCCAAAATGCTCTTTAACCTCTTGAGGGCTGTAGACATCGATATATACGTTTACTTTTATGTTAAAATTACCATTACTTAGGTCTATAATACTTTTTAAAATGAAAATATACAGGGTGTCTACGTATAAGTTTGGACATACGCAGGGTGTCAATTCAACAACAAATTTCCAACAAAAAATTACTCTTAGACATTTTCTTTGTGTCGCCTTATTCTCAAGTATTTTCACTTTAAATATTTTTTATGCGTTTGCAACTTGACACTCTTTAAACGGGTATAACTCCGCCAAATTACAGTGCTAACTTAAAAGTAAGAATACCATTCGAAAGAGCGTTACATTTTTCAACTCCCTGATACAAAACCAAAATTTATTACGAAGATTGAATTCGCGAACAATTAAGTCAAACTTTATATTGTGAAAATTTCAAAAAATTTGACTTCTGTATTCGTTTTTCGGATTTAAATATATAGTTGTTTGGCGAGCACTCCTTGGGAAAAACTTCCTCGAAGTCTCAGCTTTTGAACGGTATTGTCAAAAAAAATTGTATGGTGGTATTTTAGGGAGAAAATGACGTTTAAATGCAGAAAAGCGGACGTTTTTAGGTGGAAATCGACATTTTTCAACAAAAATCGACTTGTCACTTTAAAATTAACTTAACATCGGGTTTGATGTATTT